CAAACTGCCCCAATGACGCCTGAATGTGACAAATGTTGCTTTATTAGGGGCTTGCAGCCCTCCCAGCTAAAAACTCTCCTATGCCTATGTATGAAGACAAAGGGCCCATTTTTCTAATTTTGTTTAATTTATGGCCCTGGTCAAGTTTGTAGAAGCACCGTTTGTTTTCTGAGTCTGACCTCCAGTTATATTTATATAGTGCTAATTAGGGCACTAATTGAGAAATCCATTGAGGGAAATTGGTTTCCAAAAGTTGTTTGGCAGAAAAGAAATTAGTGTTTTGTCAAAATTGCACAAAGTCAGAGCTGACAAATGATCTTAATTTATTATTTTCCATGCAGTTGAGGTTTCGCTCCACTTGCCTTCCCGGGAACTTGAAATTTTAATGTAAAAAATCCCATCACAAATTTTGTCTTTCTGTTTTTCCTCCATACAACATGAATCTGTGATGAAATAAATGCCAGTTTTACCTCTCAATTTCGGAATCATCTTTACTTGCTTTAGTTCCGGAGGCCATTTTCCAACACGACAACAACAGCAGCAGTAAATTTCAAGTTGCAACCACAACAACATACTCTTTGGTTCATTGAAGAAAACATGGCGGCACAATTTAGTTTCGGCGCGCCAGCACAGAGCCAAGCAAATCCGTTTGGAGGATTTGGCTCCTCAACAACAGGCACATCACTTGGAACCGCCACATCAAACACAGGTCAGTCTTGATTTCTCCGACATGGGAAGACTTGTAATCATATCTCACCCACTTCCAACAATTATTTTTCAAAATAGAATCATTCGATAAATTCGTTGTTTGAAAATTAACAATATTTTTGCAAAGAAATTCAGGGTGGCTGTTAATTTATTACTCGTGTATACTGATTTTGCACTTCAAAGTGTATTGTTCTGGTTGCACTTAAACCTAACATTTCTGGTGCTCCAAATTCTTGCAACCCACTTTATTAGGAGTGGCTTTCCTAGAAAGCCATACAGGAGCCACAGCAAGCCCCTGAGCAGCTTGGGCATGATGACAGCCCCCTTTCAAAAGATGCTATAAATCCCGGCCTCCAGAACTAGTTGCCAATGAGAAACTCTCAGTTCATTATTTATCAGCGTGATTTCTTTGGAGAATTTGTTGGGGAATTTTAGGAGACAGACTGCTTGTCTGCTGGAAAACCTTGGCAAAAAATGGGCAGTTCTGCAGGAGTGAGCGGTGGAAAAATCATTGGTGCTCCCATCAGACTATTTCAGAATAGTCTGACCATTTGTTAAGGAAACAATAAGTTCAAGGGTAATAATTCTTGCCACTGTCTTGAAAACAATCAAGCGTTTTACGTCATTGGCTAAGGATACAATCTTGTGTGTTTGGCAGAAATAATACCTAGTCAAAAATATAAATTTGGTCAGGCTCATTCGAAATGGCCTGACCTTGTTTTGGAATTCATTTCAATGTGCATTTTGTCAAAAAGTTGTTATGGCTCACAAATTTGAGGCGAGGCAAGGCTCAATTTTGTGATACTTTTACTGTAATTTACTAGGAGGGAAGTCAAGGCATGGAAGCATTTCCAGTGCAAGTTATTTTCACTCATTTGTCTGTTAAACCTTCTGGTGTTAGGCTATCAATCGAGCAGAAAGGGGGGATAGGCCCATGTTGCAGTCAAAAGACGCAGAGTGAGGTATTGTAAGATGACTGCTTTGATAATGCCACAAACGACTGTGTTTTTCTGGCCCACAAAGAACATCAGTTGTGTGGAAAGGAACTTTGTTGATAAATTTGCTACCTGTCAGGCTTATCGCAGTAAAGTTTTCCGCTCAGTCAAAGTGAATTGTATCGATTTTCTAACGTTGTTTGGACCTTCTTGATAGGCTGATCATGTTTAACGCAGAGCTATAATGTGTCATTACACTGCAGTTCACAATAACATTTATTTTGTTGATTTAAGTTAATGTGTGGAAATATCAACTCAAACAGTGTGAATAGTATGTTGTTGACTGATGAATCATCACAAACAAATTGCATCTTTTGTGTACTCTGTACTTGTTGAGAGTCAGGGGAAAAAGTAATGAAAATAAGAAAATTATTTCTGGGTGATTTTCTTGTTCTTATTCTGAAAAAAATTCAAAATTCCTTTTGAGCTAAACGATGAAATTGCTGTACTAGCCAATAATCAGAAGCCAGTCATTCTGTAAATTCTGCATACTTTTGGTTCACTTTTGATATTACCATATGGAAATGAAATTTTCTGCATAGTTAATTAATAGAGAGTGCGGGAAAATAACCAACCCAAGCGAGGCTTGAACTCACGACCCCTGACTTTGTACGTCAAGTGCTCTACCGCTGAGCTATCAGGTTGTGCTTTCAAGCCAACACCCAAGTCCAAGTCATTCCCCCGCACTGCCCCTCTCTTTTACCGGATACACAGGGGAGCCATCGCAGCTCCATCACAAAGTGCAGAGGACCTGAAGAGTGAGAGAGGACTGCCCTCTCACTCTTTCTGCAGAGTTCTTTGACCATCGCTTACTGCTGGTAGCTCACAAAATGAACTAAATTTGTTGGAAAATTGTTCCAATTCCCTTGTTCCATCATGAATAATCCGTGATAATTGTTCCACCATGAATAAATTTTCACAAATTAGAAGTAGGCCCTTTATTATTGGGCCTGGTCAAAAGGGGCGTGGCTTATTGTATCAAAAAGGGTGTGGCATGACCGTCCCACCAAACCTGGCTTTGCCACTGATTACCATAGAGAAGAGTCTCACATCTTTACCAGCCGCTGAGGCGACAAAGTTTCAAAATGTGATTTTCTGTAACTGCGTGAAAGTTGCTTGTCAGCAGTTTTTATGTAGCCTTATTACCAATCTTAGTGATACAAACAAGAATAGTATAACTATCTATTTTGGTTTAGGAGCACCAGAGAAAAATTGCCAGAGAAAATCTTGGAATTTAACTTTCCTGGAATTTTTTTTGCAAAAACCTTGATATTTTTCAATATGGTTTTCAGTCTGTTGTCCCTCAAAATTTGAATGATCCACTTCCATGTAAACAAAACGACATAATAGCCGTGCTTAAGGTACAAATATTTTAATATAAAATATTTTAAAATATTTTGAAACATTTTAGTAAAGAACTATAGCTTTTAATTGTCCAGGAAATGTGCATGAAGCATGATTTTATCATAACAACCAGGAGATAAAACTGGAAATATTTTTCAGCTTGTTCCATAGACATCCAGCCTGGAAGGAGATCCTGTTGTGCTTTGGTGATCCTCCTTCTGCGTTAATCGTTTAGTAAAAGCCTAATTCTAATACATACGGAAATTTATATCAGTATATTCATAAATAGACCACTCATGAAAATTACTCGATGACATTAAGGCAGAGTTGTACATGCTTTTAGTGCAAAGAACAGTTTCTAAGATACTACATAGAGGTTCATCCTTATTACGTTCACCAGACAGCTATTTATAACTGTCCTGTTCTTTACACCAAAAGCCTCTGATGACTCACATGATTCTCTGGCATGACATGCAACACACAGTATTTCCTCATAAGACCACAATTCTCAAATATTCAGTTCACTTTCCTTTTTCCAGCTAAGGCCTATCTCACATTTTATTATCTTCATGATCTGTCATTGAATCTTTCCTTTGCTCTTTGTCAAATAGGTTTTGGATCTTTCGGTCTTAATACAGCACCAACAGCTACAGGTGGGCTTTTCGGTGGACTAAATACTGGTTTCAATGCAGGGGCAAAAACCACTGGGAAAAGTCTCTTTGGAACCGCCACAAGTACTTCAGGTAAGCTTGCTGACTTTATTCTAAACTGCAACGAGACATCAAGTGCAGTGCCTCTCTAGGAGGTTTAGAGTTCCTCTATTTTGAAATTCAAGAACGTTGTTAGACCAAACACGATTGTCTCAAACAAGCAGAGGGGTATTTTAGTATATCTAGCAGTTTCTTTTGTCCCAGTTTCTCGAAATTGTCTGGTCTTCTGGTTATTTCACAAATGTCAAACCTCAATATGGTCAAAATCATTGCTCGTGTTAAAATCAATTCCATGCAACAACTTTGTTGTAGAGAATGACCCAAATTTCTTAAATGCGACTTGAGACAAACATATACAAGGAAGATAAAATATCCCTTAAACAGCAGGTAGAATTCTCAAATTTCCTTTTTATAAGCCTATCTTTTTGATAGGATGACATCGTATTTCTTAGAACAATAAACCATTGCCTTCCAAAATCTTTGGTGGGTTGACTGGCTCCCCCTGGCCCGATAGTTTTTGTAGAGCTTCTTCTAACTTCAAATTGCATGATCTAGCATGATTTTCCGCAAAAATTTGTTGTCTTTATTTTGCAAATCCATCTCTGACTTCTCTCTTACTGCTTTTAAGGCCTATTACTCTAGTGCCATATATGCATTAAACATTAAACATATGCATTAATTTAGGCTCTGGGGAAATAATTTTAGTTTAAGATGTGATATAGGAAAAGGTCTCTTCAGAAATCACGTTTTTAACATCAGTATATCAATGGTATCTTTTATCTTAACTTATTGAAAGTTTCAAAGAATCCGGCTGACAACCTATCCAGCAAATCTTCCTTCTTACTTATCAATGGTACGTTGGGTGTTATTGTAAAAAGGGGTACATTGTGTATTGCCTGGGCTGTAGGTTTCCTGCCTGACAACATCGAATAAGATCAACCGGCAGCAAAATGTTCGCTGACATTTTCGAAAACACGAGAGAATATTCAGAAATATTTGTTGAAAGTCGATAAACCTCTATTTTTTGTTAAATCTTCTAAAAGAAATACAAGTTGAAGATATTTTTGGAAGCGTATTAATGACATGTATTTAATTAACAGAAACAAGAACTATTCTTGTATGTGTGTATTCATTATTTTAGGTAAATTACAGGACTAAGTCAAAGCTTGTTAATTGCTTGGTCACCTAAAATAAACAAAAAACAAAATGTCTTCACTAAAGCCAATTCATAACACTTTTATATAAAAGAGACCTTTACTGTCTGAAAGACAGTAACCTTAAAGAAAACTTTAGCAATTTGCAAACAATTTTTTAATGGTACTTAAGTTGAAAACGTCTTTGGTATATTGATACTTTTTTGTTTTTCTCGAAGCCATTTTTAGCAATTAACGATTGCGATAAAATTTTCTATTGATTCAGATATTATAAAAAAACTGGTAAAGTCAATAGAAGACTATATTGCCTATTTATATAATGTATCTTAACATGATCTTAACATTAAAGCAGTTAAACGCTCAAATTGTTCTTCCGAGGTCGCTTCTCTTACTTCTGTTGGCAAAGAGTTCCATGCTGATGCTTCCATGAAATAGAAACATTTATGCTTATAAATGGCCATTTCAGTCTTCAATAAAGTTCCTCCTGCCTCAAGGTCCATCTTGCCTCTACTGAAGGGCTGTTTTGCACTTTTCATGTCAGACGCTCACATGCAGGTGTTTTCTTTTAATAGGACTTCCATTTGGAGGTTCTGGCACTAGTGGATTCGGTGAGTAATCATCATTCATATTTTTTGTCATAATATTAATTTATTATCATATCGACCATCGCGTTTATCACATTTATTGAATGGTTTGTTTCGCTGAAGAATCAAAATAGCGTTTGTTATAGATAACGATATTTAGTGTTTAGAAACGGACGGTTCTGAGGTTGGTACTTCGAGTTTCACGTTTAATGCGATCATCAAACAGCCATGGTGAACGCTTAAACTTTCTTTAACATGTAATTGTTGCCTGGTGATCGAATTAAGCGTGAAACTCGGAGTAGCAATTAAGAACCGTCCTGCTCTATACACTATATAGCGTGTACATCTCTGCCTATTTGGCAAAAAGCACTTTATGACAGACCGGCAAACAGTAATTTCCATATGCTATATATAATGTTACCAATATTTATTCATTTAGTATTTTAAATCATATATTATCATCAATTTAGTATCATATAACAGATACTGCATCGGTTTTTAGCAGGGTTTATCAATGATACGTTAGCAAACAAAATAGTGATCACCATCATCACCTATGATGCTTAGCTGCCATAATATCCTCTTCTACAGGAACCGCTGCGTTTGGCACAAAAACAACATCAGCAACGGGTTTCTCCTTCCCACAGCCGACAGCAGGCTTTGGTAAGTATGCAGAGATAGGCACGTAGACTGTATGCTTGCCATTTAGGCCGCCAAATTCTGAAGTTATACTGGTACCAAAGGATAAAATGTTTTGTGAATTAAGTTTCAATCCAAACGTTTATTATAAAAATCCTGTTTTGAATATCTGCAATCTAGACTACAAAGAGTTTTTACCCTTAGTCCAACAAGCAAAAAATTTGAAAGCCTTCCTTGATATATTAATATGGGTTGCTGGAAGGATGTGACTACACAAATTGCTTTGTTTTCAAGAACATTCCTCGTTGTATCTTTATCTTACTGTTCTACTGCAAGAACTGAATTAGGTGCGAGGATGGCTTAGTTAGGTTTGTTGACAGTAAATCCAAGGTGAGTCGCCAGCTCTCTGCAATTCCAGGCGTAGGAATTAATAAGGTGTGCACACGTCAAGAGAACGGCCTTCAAAGGATTAAGACACTGACCGGTTGAAGCATAGCTTCTCACTGCTTCAAAAACTACCTTCGGGTGCTAGGAAGAAATGGAATATGAAACAAAGGCAGTATTTGAATAGAATATGACATAAACATTATCATGAATAATTTTTATATACCAATTACCGTTATTTTTCATATGAAAATGCCTGATGATAGCATTAAGCCTAAAACTCAAGTTGCAAGTTGCAAGTTAGAAAGGTCCTGTTTAATTCACCAAAGCTTGCACAGCTATGCATATACGGCATCTAGCACTGTACTACAGACTGGTAAAACAGCAATTTTCCTTACCATATACCATTATACAATTTTCAAAAGTTAATGCTCTTTCTTTGTTGCTATGTGTGTCATATTCGAATTCAAATATAATCGTAGTACTAACTCAGTTCACTGCGGGCAGCTTGCTCGAAATATTTTTTTAGACCCTGCTTTAATCCTAGTACAGCTTTTGCAAGTACTGTTAATTGGGCTGTCCAAATGGTAACCAAAAATATTGTTCCATGAATCAGTATAATATATAACATAGATTGGTAAGAAACAAATGACCAACATGCCCATGGGGAATCTGCCATTGATGGTCAGTTTCATGGGCGGAATGCCTAGAGAGCATCAGTAGGTCATACAGGAACATTCAAAAATATTCATCGCACAGTTGCGGTACCGTGTCATATTTCTTAGGCTGCATGAAGTAAAAAAATAAAGGAAATTTTTCGTTAAGAAGTTTTCATTACTTTATTGCAGACAGTAAATTTGAGAAGGATAAACTACATTTGCGGTCACACTTGGGCTGCATAAAAAACCCCAATCGTGTTTTGTCGAATAATTTGTAACTATCAATGGATTAATGTCCATGGCTGGTTTTAGCTCTTCTTTAGTTTTATGCATGTGCCTAACAGCTAAGAAAGTTGTTAGAATAATACTTTAGATATCCCTCTTTTTGCACTTTTACATTGGATTTAGTATGCACATCGTGAAAATTGTTTTATTGTAAGTAAATTGTTTTTCTTTAATGAAATATTTTTGGAATAATGGGTTTTTGGCAAAAAAGGACCGAAATCTATATAAAGATCTAAAAACATCGAGTCAATCTTTGTCTGAAGACCAGAACGAAAGCTGTATATGCATCTACCCAAGGATAATTTCCAAAGCTTCAGCCAACATTTTGAATTTGTTTACTAAAATAGCTTTGTTATCCAGCCTGTAACATTAGTTTCCTCTTTCAGCAATGCAGCAGTCACAGCAACAGCAACAACAGCAGCTGATGCAACAACAACAGCAGGCATTAAATCCACTCAATGCCATGACAACTGCAATATCGATGCCGGCGCTTTTCGGCGATGAGAGGGATAGTATACTGGCAAAATTTAATCAAATTCAAGCACTTTGGGGTGCTGGAAAAGGGTATTATGCTGCCAATCAGCAACCGATAGATTTCACCATGGACAATCCATTTTGTCGTTTCAAGGTATGTAACTCATAATTCAGCCACCCTGATGCACTAGTTGACATGCTTTGGGAGGGGAGGATTGGGGGCTAGTTGGGTCGTAGTCTTTTTGAGATGTTGTGAAGCGTACAGATAGACTTTCCTGGAGCGTGTCACATCTGGGCCAAAATAATCACTTAACAGCTATTAATATTAGAATACGGAAGGTTCATTCCATATCAAAAGAGGAAAGCCATGCGATCCAAAGTCCCATAGTTTGCCTAATTTTTGTTGAGAAGTCGGTATTCATATGATAAACGCATTCGCAAAATTTTACTTTGAAATCTCTAGTTAGAATTAAAAATTGCAGGCATAAAAAGGACCAGAATCAACGAAAATTCAAATTGCTTTATTTTTTTAACTTTTTCCTTTTCTCCAATAAAAGTTTACATGAAACATACGGAAGCTACAAAACGATGCCGCAGAGGGCATGGAAATACATAGCAACCCTGCGACCATAACGTTTAATGTAACAATTCAACAGTAAATCTAAATCTAAATATTAAAGATTGTATAATACAAATAACAATTACAAAAGTAAGAAAAAACAATTGAAAGAAAATACAAATGACACAAATGAGGAGGTTTTCAACAGCAACTTATCGAAATCGTTTCGAGGCACGAAGGTTTCCTCGAGAATTTTCGTATTTGAACGAAAAGTTAAAGTTCCGTAACATCCAGAAGGATTTCGAATGAGTTTTCATTTGAAAGATTTTCCAATCCATGTGCTCGCAATAGCGCATCTATTTCAAGAATAGTAAGAGATTGTGAAATGAAATCTTGCATGTTTGTTTATCTCATGGTTACCTAGACATCTCTACTAAAGATGTGCGAATTCTGAAACTTAGGGATAATAAGTTGGTTAATATTTTGTTTTGTTTTTCTTTCATTTTCTGTATTGCTTCAAGCAACGAAGAAAGAGGTTAAAAAACCCTAGCGCACCCTGATGCGGACTCAGCAGTATTGTTCTCTTCCAAGTATGGATCCTTAACATTTCATTTATCTTTTCAAAAGTTAGTCAAATTCTAATGCACTGTGTCGTAATTTCTCACAGACAATTGGATACAGCTGCCTTCCGAATGCAAAGGACTCGGAAGGACTCGTTGCTCTAGACCTGAAACACAAGCTGGAATTTGTCAAGACAAATCAACAGCAACTTGTAGAGAGTCTGCACAAGGTACTGGGCAGCAAACCCACTCTGGTCGTTTGTGTCGATGGTGTGAGGGAACTACCCGAAGATAAGTAAGATCTTTAAGCTCTATTTAGATTGTTTTTACCAGAAATGCTAGTGACCATTGTCCTTCTCTATTAAACCACAATCTATCAAGTATATCCTTCCATTCTTAACAATTGTGAGGCGTTTTGCTTATAATATAAAGATAAAAGCGTATAAAGAAATACACAGTTGCCTAATGATTGCATTAAGCGATAAATTTGGAGCTGCAGTTTAAATCCATCTTGTTCTATACACCAAAGTTAACTTTTCATGCAATTTTTTGTTCATCCTCCTTTACTTCTTATTTTATTCTATTTTTTTGCTCACATATCATACCTTTTCGTTTTTCGTTTTTCCAACAGCTGCTAAAGCTTTTTTTGTCATGAAAGACCATTCAATGAGCTTCTTTAGGGAAAGTTTTATTGCCCTTCTCAAACGGTTTCAATTACGTTCTAGAACTGAAGTGATATTTTACGTTGTGGAGCGAGCAGCTAATGGAACGTCACGAAGGGTACCTTCAACTGAATTATACATGTTCCTCTCTCAAGCTAATTTAAAGGTAAATTATTTACTCATTTTATTAATTTGTTCATATTTTATTTATTAACTTTTAGTATGTTCTGTCTCGCATGTAGTTTCATAGGAAACAACATTATTCTCTCTGACTCATTAAACTAACTGATTATTCTAATTTATGCAAAGTTATTCCAATATGCGCATCCTTATGCAAAGTTATTCCAAAGCAACTTAGAACCGTGCTATTTCATGCACCAAAGCGTAGACAGCTCTGTCTAAAGGGCCTCAACTCTTTGTGACAGACATGTAAAACAGTATTCTCACTAAGAAAAATAAGGTTTGTTATTGCAAGTGAGCTGCCCCTTTTAGAAGTCAGTGCTGTTTTTTGGAGCCTATTTCTGGGTATTTAAACCTCAACTTGTCATTGTATAATGTACTTCATCAATCTATGAAAATTAAAATCTTCATAAAACTTGAAGATTACACGTATCTTTATCATAGAAATTCCAGAAAGTATTTTATTTTCTGCTTGGGTTTACAAAAATGTCAGATTGTTTAAAACTCAAACAACATTGCAACTACTTGATTTCTTTGAAGGTGTAACTTCTATGTTAGATGAACAAAAAAATGTCCATTGATTTTGCGAAAGCATTCGGATCTGCACCTCATGAAAATTGTTTATCAAAATCAAATCTTACGGAATAGACGGGAAGGTTTATAATTGGATATCGTCCTTTCTAAACAATCGGAAACAGCGCGTCGTTCTTAATGGTAACGATTCTGCTTGGAGTGATGTCTTAAGTGGTGTAGCACAACAGGGTTTTCAGTAATTTTTGAAGCGGAAGGCTCACATCCAAAAGTAGGCGTTTATAGGTCTACTAAAGTTTGTGCGGTTATACAAAAATAAGGGTGAAAGTAGGCGACAAAGATTTGGTGAGTTAGCGGCGGACTTTCGCCGGTCGCCGGCTTCTAATGAAATCCCTGCCACAGGGAAGTGTTTTTAGGCCCGTTAATTTTCGTTCAAATTTATGAACAGAGAGGTATTTATAACTTGATGCAAGAGTTTAGTTCGACCATTACTAGAGACGGCTGGAGCTATATGGAGCCCTATTCTAAATAAACAAGGTGAATTTCTGGAAAGTGTACAACGCTGTGCCACGAATCTAGTAAATACAATCAAGGACAATTCATGCGGCGGTCGACTGAAAGAGCATTAGACTTACCTTGAGTATAGAAAATTACGCAGAGATATGGTATTAACTTTTCAGCTGTTAAATGGTTTTACGGATGCTGATCTACCCTTAGTCTTTAAATTGAAGCAGAATAATATTCTTGTACAAATTAAATATTATTCAAATCAAATTTCACAGATTAAAACTATTCAATTATTCGAAGAATATTTTTTGACTTTTTGGCAAAGAGTTGTTAATGACCGTAGCAATTTAACATGTAAAGCATGCGGACAAATATTCGAGCGAGCATACGATCGGCTAAAACATGCAGACAAATTCAAGTACACTTGAAACTGTCAAGTGATAGATCATAACAGGGTTTTATAGGTTCCCATGACCTTCTACTCCCTTAACTCCTTATATTGTTGTTAATTTTAACATGCGTCTATTTTTTAGAGTTACTTGGCAAATCTTGGAGCTGAAAGTATGCTGCCAAAAACGAGTCTTTCGGAATCCCAGCTAGAAAGCTTTCTTGAAAATCCACCATTAGGTTTGTTCAATTTCTCATCTTGTCTTTATAAGTGGAAAGAAGTTCATAAACACTCATTTTTGTATAAGAAACTTGCTATAAGAAACGAGTACTTGACAGTCTAAAAAAATTAAGAAACTTCAGTTCTCGAAGCAAAAAAATTAAGAAACTATTAAGTCGTGATAAAACTGAGAACAACGAAATTTTGTAAAATCCAAGAACATGATTGCCCTGATGGCCTAGAAATTAAGACACAAGGGATAAAAATATGCTTCCCACATCTAAATACAGCGTCAGAACGGAAGCGAATCTCTTGACGTGGAAAAAAGTCACGAACATTTCATAACATCATTCATGACATCATAATTAAGAAACTCTTAAGAAACAGTGAGTATTTAAGGTTCAAGAACATTAAGAAACTGGAGTACTCAACATCGATCTTTGTTTCTTATAAAAAAATGAGTGAACAATATTAAATTCTTAGCAATTATGTTTCCTCTCTCTTCGAGGATGTTCTTCGTAGAAGGGGCGTATCCAAAAGGGGCAGGGAAGTGGTGCCAATGCTAAGTTTATCATCTATTGCTTTGATGTTTTTAACTTCGAAGATATAAGAATATTGATATATAAATTCATGCATATTAGGTATTCAATTCTTACCTAAAAATAATTTTATGTGCATTCTAGGTATATTCACCTGAGTACCGCAGTGTGTCATCATTAAAAACTCCTTTTTAGAATTATTGATTTTTGACCTCACAACCTGAAAAAACGTTATGAAATATAAACCTGTACCTGCATTGTTAGAGTTGGTGCAAGTTGATGTAATATGTGGAAGGGTTGGGCTTGGCTAAAAGATTCATGTTGTTTTGTACTGGTTTAACGATTTTCGAACCAAGACCAAATTACAGTGGTTTTATTGGGAACCAGCCCATGCTCACGTGGCCATACCTCAGTCAGTTTGTAACATAACTGATTTGACAGATTTAGGTGTATAGAGTTGTCAAGTCATGACGTCACAAAAATCTATTTTTAGAATTTTTGAAATTTTTCCCATTACCTGAAAGAGCATCATGAAATACCTCTAAATCTGCAAAATCAGTTAAAGGTATGACGGATTGGCTGAGATATGACCAGATGAGCACAAGCTCTGGCCCCATCAAACCTCTGTAATTTGGTCTCAGTTCAAGACTTTATGAACTGAGCCAAAATAACAGTAATCCGTTAGCAAACTTCGAATCTTCTTTTGGCCATAGCTCACCCAATTTCGGACAAATTTAACTGATTTTGCATATATGGGAGTATTTTATGATGTTATTTCATGTTATGTGGTCAAAATCTGAAAATTCTAAAAATAGTTTTTTTGTAACGTCACACTTGAGAACTCAATTTCATGATGCTCTTTCTGGCCATGAGAACCATATTGAAAAATTTTAAAATAGATTTTTTATGACATCCTCACTTTTAAACTCTTATTCATTAGACGCAGCTCGACTCAAATTTCTTGTTATCATATTAAAAAAGACAGCAACCTTTAAACGTAATCTGGATAGGGTTGGTTTGTAGATGAATGAAGCAATTAGATCGCAGGCTGAGTTTGAGGGGGTTCAAGAACGTCCTGTTTATGAAATCACAAGAAATTTTGTCGTCGATCAAAGTCCCATTCAACATTTTCACTGGTACCATTCAAATTGACTTTGTACTAAACAGAGTGGTGATAAAGGGTTGTCAAGTTCAGGGGTCGAAATATGTGATGTGATGGCTTATGTGATGGAGTCGAAATCTTATCTTTGTATCATCAGCTTTTTCTTTGGGCGAAGGCCTACATAATTATAATCTCTAAACATTAATTGATTATCCATGCAAAGGGTTAATGTTTTTGACAATAGTTTTATCCAAATGATATTTTTGATTAAAATAATCTTGATAGTCGGATAAATGAATCATACTTGTTGTCAGTTTTCCGAATCCGAGTTTACTAGCTTAATTACAAGCAAAAACAATATTTTGACCCCTATGGATTACGTCGTTTAACCCCGCTAAGATTTCGTTTCAGTAATTTAAAGGAACACGAGTTAAGACATGAATTTAATGACCGAATAATCTTAAGGTGCCGCCTATTCGATCATCGTGTAAAAAACATTACACAAGTTTTTGATAAGGATAATGTTTTTAAGAAAATTCAAGCTTTGAATAATCCGACTCTAAAGAATATGTACGAGGATGACTAAGTGGTTAGGGCCCCGACATGACCAAACTTTCACCTAGAGAGGGCAGAGTCGCCAGTTCTCTGTAATTCCAGGCGTAGGAATCACGAGGTGTGGTCACATCTAGAGGAAGGACCAGGACACTGCTCGATAAGCATAGCTTCTCAGTATCCTAAAAACTACCTTCGGATGCTAGATAGAAAAAAATCAAATATTAAAAGAATATTGCTACGTTTCAGCACGAATGTTTGTGCCTCAAATCTAACAGTTGCCTGTTTTTCCATGTTCACGACAGAAAATCGATCTTTTCAAGAAGCGTGGTGCATATTTGAGGATGTGTAAGGTTCTCTCGAAACCATATCAGGTTAATTAAAGATAAGAACACTTTGAGCAGCCCGAGATCTCTAATATATGTCTGCGTCCGATTAAAAGGCCTTTCAAGGGCTAATATTAAGAGTTAACAAAGGCATGGAAAGTTTTGTCTGGAGCTATTGCTGAGAGTTGTAGTGTAGTGTAGAGATACGTGCTATGTATGTACACTTAGTGAGCAAAAGTATTGCCCAGGCTGAAACAGAAATGGTGGCACTGCAGCAAATTTTTTTAGGAAACCTAATTTCAAATTTCCACAGCAGGTTTCACAATAGCTATAAGATGACTTTTTAGTTGGAAAATAATGGAAAATGTATCAAGATTTGATGATTCTCAATAATTGAATATAATTGAAATTCATCTTATAAGGAAATGTTTTGTTCGTTTGAATCAAATGTTTTAGTGACAAAACTCGATCAAGTTTCGTTTACCAATCTTCTTAGATCAAACAAAATCAAATTTTAGTGCTCCTGAACTTTTCAATGCCCTTTCTAGGTTATACCTTTCGTCTAGCTCCGATTAGTGAGATAACAAAATTAGATAAAAAATTTTGATACTCTTTTTAAAAAAGCAAACATTTGAGTAAACTTGCACAATCTGGGTTTCCCAGTAAATGCTGCCCGATATCCTTTTTTATAATCATCCCTGACGTTAAGTTGTTGAGAAGTTGCATCATCTACAAAGAAGTAATTCGTTGACATTAATATAGCCTAGCATTTCCAAAGCCAAATTTCGTTAAGGCCAAATTGAAGGAAGGGTAGAGAATTGAAAATTCTTACATCAAAGATTGAAAACCTTACATTAAATATACTTTTTATATGTTATTTTCTGTGTAATCGTAAGCACTTGGCGATGAAATAATAACGACACATGCGTTTATTTCCTCAGGCATCGACCCAATCATTTGGGAGCAAGCAAAGAAAGATAATCCGTTACCTAAAAGGTAAGCTTGGAAATTGTTTATAAAACATTTGCTGTTTTATGTATTTTAACAAATATTGTTTTTTTTTCTGAAAAATTTTACGGGCGAGTAGATATAACTTAAGTTGTTCTCTCATATTCAAAAACAAGTACCACAGCTCGTTGTTCTTAAACGTGGAATTGCAGTGGGCTGGAGACTCTCCTCGCTCTAAGAAAATGTTTGGCTTTGACAGGGACATGTGTCATAACCAGAGTCTTGGATCTTTAGTCAGCAACCCTAGCCATTGAGCCATCCTCGCACCTGCAAAAATATCCCCCCCTCCTCCGAACCCATGCAAAAATATGCTCGTTTCTTTATGCTTGATGATAATGATCAATTAAGTAGTTTTTCGTCATATTCTAGTAGGCAGAAGCATCGCCAACGTTGTTTTGCATACAAGGATAAACAAGAAGGGCCGTAATTATCTCAAGCCACTGTTTCAAAAGAAGTTTTTTCCCCCTCAAGCCATCCCTGCTTGGACAATCCTCTAGGGGATAAGCTCTACCCTAGGGGCTAATGGGTAGGACAAACAACACGTTCCCATGAGCATCAGGAAGAAAATTCCCGAAAGGATTGATATATCTTACAAGCTTTGGGTCCCTTAAATTCGTTTATCATATCTTGAACACCAGCCTCAAAGACCATCGAAAATTTTTTTGCAGGGGCCCCACCAGGTTGGAAGCCCGTAGTTTTTGAACTAAATGTAACTTTAGTCCGTTACGCCACTGTTTGCAATACGTTATTTCAGGAAACAACGCCCATGAAACTATTCTGTTAATGCCCCAGGGCTGAATCTTGTAAATAATAACATGGGAACTCCTCTTTATTGATTGTTTTTTGTTTTGAATATAACAATATTTTGTAGACTCATACCCGTGCCATTGATTGGATTCTCAGAGCTTGTCAATCGTCTCAAACACCAAGAACACGAAGCAGAACAACATAAAAATCGAATAGATGTGAGTGTGGATACAGTTTTCTTGTCGGGTATTTTTACAAACTTCCAAAAATGAAATATCTACAACTTATAAATATTGGAATTGAGATTTACCTTTTGTTGTAGTGTTCTTACATTGCCCAAGGCATAGCTAGTTTTAATTTCTTTCGATTAAGCTGCAACCCAACATTTAATAAATGATATTGCGAAATTCGTGAGAGAAAAGGCAAATTACAACGTGTCGCTTTTTTTCATCTACATCAATGCTTATTTGAAGAATATTGAGACATTGTTCGTGAACGATGTCAAGTGAAAACTACCTTCTAGTCAAAGGCTTCACACAAGTTTGTTTTTGTTTGCAATGCGATGCCTTAATGGCGTAGTTTTTATAGCCTTATTCCGTTGTCTTTATGATTCTGAAGTGTAGTCCGATAGTTAGCCGAAAATTGTCATACGAAAGTTTTTAACCAAAAAAAGTCGAAACACCACATTATTAAAATGTAAAATTGTCAAAACTAGGCTTAGATTTCAACGCCATTGTATCGGTAGGGTCACTCCTTTTCTATCCTTTTTACCTCACCCCGTTCCGTAAAGTCGATTTTTTCAATTTAAGAATTTGTGAACTTATGCCGAGTAATTTTTCGCAAACAATCCAAGAGATGCTGAAATAAGAGGGGAGGTAACGTAGAGGGAAGGCAACAAAGCTGTTGCATTGTTGTGATTTCGTCAGCATATTGACATGCAGTGCACTAGTCATTTTTATCATTAGTTCAAACACTACCATACATCGTTGTACCCCAATATTCAAATTTGCAGCTTCTTCATGGTTACAAGTACCCCAAAAAACAGCACCCCTGTAGCACGCCCTTGCCATGTGTCTCCCCCGCACAGTCTTGTAATCTTGTCAAGCCATATCGTTAGACAACGTAATCTCTTGATGGTGCCCTATGTTGTTTTTTGGAAGATCTCAAAACGAACTACAGTGAACTCACATCGCAATATGTTATAGAGAAAGTTAAAAAGTGCATCATCTAAATAAGAACAACTATACTAAGAAATTTTTTGGTTTCTTCTTTCTTATCTCGTGTTGCGTTTTTTCAGCTGATGTTTGAAGAGATCGGTCAACTCCAAAGAGCCCATTCAACAACTATGGCGAAGCTTGCGGATTACAAACGGAGGCACATAGAGTTAGGCCACAGGGTCCTTGAGGTATCCTTAACGGGTTATTTCTTCTTTGGCCTTGCGTACAATATGTCCCCGCAAATTATTGCCTACTCTTCAAATGTCAGACGTATCTTGTATTGGTGCATACGGTTATTTCAGGTTCAAATTTACTTGTTCAAAGGATTCATTCCTTGCATGAAATATTCTGAGGTAGTTTGTCTGAAGCACAAAATTGTTTAAAAATAAACAATAGGGAGATTTGTTGCTCTAAATTTCCAAAAGGAGACTAAATTACAAAAAACGGAGGGTCAACATCCAGGAAAAATTTTCATGATGATTCTTGTTTTATTAAGAGGGTTATATCTTTCCCAGCCTTAAAAAGGTTCTTAAAAAAGGACTGCCTGTAGGTTCCAAGACTCATGGGCTCTTTTTTCTTGGGATATGCTGTGTATAAATAAACTTTTTTTAGTCATTAAAATATCATTTTTGAATAGATATCAACAGACGTGTAGTTTTGTGTAAATTTTTCTCTATTTTTTACGCTTTGCTTTGTGGGCATGGCGGTTTTTAGTTGCAACTCCGAGTTTCACTGAAAGTATAAAAAAACTCTGCCTACACGGTATCGATCACTATGTGACAGAATAAACAGTGATTTCGGATATGGATTATGTTTTTTATAGAGGCTGATTAAATTCTCCGATTATTGTCTTTGTTTATGCACTGTCATATTGTTGAATGTATCTTACTCTGTTTTAAACTTCAGTTTATTTAAGAAAGTATAGATTCTTCATTAAAGTCTTCCTTATTTGTGCGAGGATGGCTCAGTTGTTAGAGGCGCTGACTACAGACCCCAGGGTCCGTGGTTCGAGTCCCTGGCATGACCAAACTTTCATCTAGAGTGAGAAAAGTCGCTAGCTCTCTGTAATTCCAGGCGTAGGAATCACGAGGTGTGGTCACATCGAGAGGAAGGACCAGGACACTGCTCGACAAGCGTAAGCTTCTCAGTGTCCTAAAACTACTCTCGGATGCTAGGTAGAAAAAATACAAAGAAAGTCTTCCTGATAAATATTTTCTTTTCACCCTGAAAATTATCTATTGAATAATGTTTTGTTGTCATTGTGATGATCCGATATTCAACTTTCTTTTTATGTTGTTATAATTTGTAGGTAATGATGAATTTGCAAATATCAAAGCGAACTGGTTATGCAATTGAGCCAGAAGAGGAACAGTTAAGGTATGAATCAATTTTTCCCCATAATTATCGCTCAAAGTCGTATATTTTGCCTCAGTGGGACTTGATCAGAATGAAAATTATTTCGTTCCATATAATTCGGGTATTTTAAAAAAATAATGATTTATATATGAATAAAACATTTACTTACAAAAGTAGTTTTAAATAGTTAAATAGTTAAATGATTTGAATAGTTTAACTGGAATTTTGTAATTGTTTAAACAGCATTTGTTTCGTTTGCTTAAAGAAAGGCATGCTGTAGTTAGGCCGTTCGTAGGATTATAAGAACCTTGCAATAAATAATGGAATTGAAATGGCGAGAAGGGCAAATGCATGTACCATCAGCAAAATATTCGCAAATGTGAGGATGGCTCAATGTTTGAGGTTGCGGATCACAGATTCAAAGGTCTGGGGTTCGAGTCCCTGACATGGCTTTTACTTAGGATGAAGAGAGTCGTCAACTCTCTGTAACTCCAGGCGAAAGAATGATGAGGTGTGGTCATATTGAGAGGAAGGACCAGGGCACTGCTCGATAAGCATAGCTTCTTAGTGTCCTAAACATTACCTTCGGAAGCAAGGTAGCAACAAAATACAATTGTCGGTTTCATTTCGATGACCTGAACGGTAGTTTGATGCAAAGAAGGAAGTTACAAACAATTAATGCCACCAAACAACGCAAGATGTAGATCCAGCATTGTAGATTGTCTCACACTCATTTTAACCAATAGAACAAAAAGTTGAGATTGCCAGTCAAAAGGCGGATGTGCAAAAGCTTGGGTGGTCAGTTGAGCTTTTGAAAGAAATGTTCCAAAGTTCAAAAAAGTTAAAGCCCTGAGACAGTGATTTCCCTGGTGGCATGAATTTTGTATAAGACAGCGAGGAGGGAGACGGTGAAGTAATGCCAAGAGACTTCCACAATCTCATGGGGAGGCGAACATGTCACATTGATCGTGATTCCAATCAGCAAGGGATTTCTCAAAGCCCTCATGGCTGGAAAGCAGTCGAAAGGAATGCTACAAATATTGCCTTCCTAAAATATAGCGCTTTGCAAACAATTATCTCAAATCGGTTGCTGAATTTGTAGAAAGTAGCATCCAAGGTTTTTCGAGAATCACTCTCTTTTAATCTGGTGTAGAGCAAGCCAATGTTGTATCGCATACGCTCCAATTCAATATCTTTTTTTTGTATCTCAAATTGTGATGAAATCTTTAAACATTTAGAGAAAAATAAAGTGTTAAGGTTTTTTTTCTTTCTTTATTTAAAGTTGGTACAATTTCTAGCTATGCATACTCAAGCTAATTAAAACCAACTGATTTAAATTACCAACGCTAAATATAATATAAATCAAATATAACTGATGTTGCTAACGTATTCCTTGCAAAGATTACAAGTACAATTAAACGACGTAAATTCTGAGATTTTTTTCTTGAATATTTGTGAAGTAAGGGAGTACTTAGGGAGTATCTCATTTGGAACTGAGTTCCATATTTGGCTACATCTGTATGATACGGTATTAAATCCATATATTTTGTAATATGGGTCCGCTGTTTTGAATTGGGAGTTTCTTAAGTAATATGGGCATTCATTTATGGAAAATATTTCATCCATAAAAGGTGGATTCAATCCGTTAAATGTTATGAGAAGTTATTGTTTTATTCTTTATTAAGAGTTGTTCAAAAGTTGATTCATAATCACAATGAGCTATTCTCATTGCTCTTTCATGAATCCGGTTTATCTGGCTATTACTTTTCCTACTGCTAAACATCCAAATAACAGGACAATTATTAAAATATGGTAATATGAACATTTTCATTAAAAGATTTCATTAAACCAAGCAATCCTGGCTAGAACAATCCTGGCAGGTTGAACAAGCATACTTTCATGTGGGTCAAAAGATATGATGTACTCAAAACTCATCATGAAAGGCGGAGAAGATGAATTGAGCGGAGAGAATTAACAATGAAAAATGTCCCCCGCGATCTTGTTATAGGGATATTCAAGGGTTAGACGGAAATAGAGAACACGCGGGACTGAAGTTGGTGGTCAGCATCCAGAAATGGCTTCAAAGCCTGTTGAAAAGCACAGATAAATTCTCTTATACCCAAAATAAAGAAAATAGAGATTAAGCAAAAGATTTGCTCAAAGATACAAGATTTTCGTTTGGTTTAAAAATTTTGACGTTTGTTTTTGTGATGATATCAAAACAACAGACCTGGAGATGACAAAGTTATGACAGAGTTATTGGAAAACCAACCGCAATATCATGCCAGCGACATAGTCATTGTTGTTAATAAAGTCAGAGTCTAACTGTATTATATGTAATATTCTAGAAGCAGCACGAAAAAAGGAACATATGCATATTATAAACCAGTATAAAAATGTGCTGTCAGGAGTGCTTTGAAACCATGCATGTCTTTTGCACCCTTTACTTATAACAGAAAAGTACCAACAAAGTGGGTCCCGCATATCTTAGAACCCAGATTGGCACTAACAAAAGCCTCGAAAGCCTAACAGTAAAACAATGTAAGACATCTGAGATGTCTTTCTGGATATGTGCCATTATATCAGCACTTGAAATAGTTTGGTACCTTTCCAATTAACCAACGGAAACTTGTAAAAGTATTTATAGACGAAGTTCCAGACGATATAGTCTATTCGCCTAGAGGAGGTTTAGACTCAGTGAGGGAAGAGAAAGTTGACTGCAAAGACTCAGAATTTTTGATAAGAAAAACGAGACAAAATGAGCAAAAGCTGTTCTGCATTTGGGAATCAATCGAATGTTCGAAAATTTTAAATTATAATTCAAAATTGAGATCAGTTAATATCGTGCTGTCAAGTAAAAAAACTGCATTTAATGAAAACGTTGTTACTGTGAATGGGCAATTGTCTAGCACGAGCAGCTGTTTTTCGATGACAACTTTAAGGAATAATCTGAAAAGATGAAGTTTCATTACTTTGGGATATATGAATCAACAAATCTGTCTGAGGTGTTCAGCGTCTTTAAAGTTGAACCCATGTTTATTTAAATTACACATTACACATCCTTCAATAATGGAACCAGATGAGTATCATCATAAACAGAAGTTAATTAAAAAGCATGAAATTAATAAGTTGATAGAGATACAGGAAAAAAGAATGTATGAGTCGAATCGCTTGAAAGTGGGTTTTCTCAGTAGATTAAATAATGGATGAGAAAGCAACTTTTTCTGAGATATTTTTGAATGAATTTTCATTTGAAATAGCTCAGTGGAGTTTGTTGCGTTAGCTGTGAAGTTTGTTTGTTTAAGTATTTTTTCTTTTTTTCATTTTCCTTTAAGTTGGTAGCATTCAAAACTAGCCATATCGAAGCTAATTAAAACGAACTATATATATATAAACAAATGTGAAATTTAATAACAGTGACAGTAATAAATGAATAACTAATAAAATACATAAATGTACGGTAGGTTCCCTTTCATTTTATAAAGCCCACTTATCGTATAGATGTTTTGCAGATGTGGCATGAGCAAGAAATCGCTGACATAGTTTTGATACTTGCTTTTAAGGTGTTTCTATTTTTGCTTGAGGTGATTTGAGGTTGCTTGCCGTCCAGAAACCAAGAGGCAGTTGTTTCAAACTTTGAAATCAGAATTCAAAGTTACGCAGTTATAAATTCAATGATCTTTGTGACATGAAAACGCCAGTAAATGTCACCTCGTTCATAAGATTATCAAAATTTAAAACAGAGATAGAAAACGTTAAGCTGTCTTAAGAATATCCAATTTATAAGCAATGCTGGGCGTCAAATAAACCCATTTATCAAGTAGTTTGAAATTTTGATTTTTCTGGTTTGTCAATCTCAATCATCTGTACAACTGTTCTTTCATTTGTTATCTTATGCTTTTATGGCAGTCGATATGATTATTTTCTAACGAAAGATTTTTCACCTAAGTATATATTTTTGAGTGAATTGTGGTTATTATTAAGTGGGATTATGAGTGATCATGGGATCATCAGCATCAATTTGATTGAAAATTAATTTTTCATTGCAATTTATTTGGAAGAATTTAGGTTTCCGTTAATTCTAAGATTATCTTTTTTTTAATCACAGGAAATATAGACTAATTTCGCAGGAAATTGTTAATTTTGTTATAGCTGCCAAGGAGAAAATCTTCTTTTCTGTTCCTGGATTGACCTTTTTGTTTTGAAATTTGAACCTCATGTGTAAATGCAGAGGAATCTTTGGTCCTTCTAAATGAGAACTTCTGTGAGGTCTTGTCTAAGAAATATTGCATATTTTTCGGTATTTGGAAAATTAATTCCGTGTCACACAAAACAAAACAGTTAAGAGAAATAATAACGCGGAACATACCATTGTATTCCTAGACTGTTTTGGATAAAGAGCATCTTGCAAAAGATCTTTAGGTTTGTTTAATGGTAGCACCTTCGTTCTTGTTTTTTTTGTATTCTTCTTTGTATCATTCACCCTCTACTCCTAACTCTCTGCTCTTTCATTATACAACACATTATCAAAGTACTGTAACAGTATTTTCTTACTGTCATTGCGAATTTCCTTTCTTCATTGATTCTCTCAAGAATATTTTGTCTCGTTTCGTCATCTTATGCGTAACATGTTTATCTTTTTGTGTGCTTTATCCGTCTCAGAGCTTACAAGTCATATAAGAAGTTCCTTATGGTACACCCTACGAATGATTTACTCCGGTTATTGTTGCCCATTTCTTAAAATGGTTTACTGGTCGAATGTATCTCCTTTGAGCTTTTCTCATTCACGATTCTTCTGCGAACACCGCTATGACAAACATTTCCACCATTCTAGGCAAACATTTTCACCTTCTTAAATATTTACAACATATTTCGTGGTCTGAGTTGCTTGCTTCTTTGCGAAATCCTTATCTAGGAATCTGTGTTCTTTCTTTAATCACACCCAGCAGCTCGCTTCCTTTTCAAAACTGCCAAGGGCTCTTCAAAATCCTTCTCACACACTACCAGTAAAACCGTGGTGGTCTCTGCTTATCGAGTATTGTTTACAATTTGTACCAAAAGCCCTTTCAGCAGTAATTTGGTTGACTTCAATCTTATTCAAACGATTGAGGTGTTTAAATTCTTTTTGATAAAGTATTTCAAAACTCAAGAACAAGGATTCGAGATGTTAGCATTTGCAATCCTTTTCACCTTCGAGACAGAATAGTCGCAGATTACAGCCAAAAACTGGTTCCTACACCTTTTCTTATCAAACCCTAACGCCCATGTTCATGCCAAATCTACACAATGCATGCCCAATTTAATATAACTTTATTATCGAGACGATCGCCACGACATTTCTCTCCAGTTTTTATGTACGAAGAATGAGTACATGAAGGGGGGATTTTGCTCAGCTCGATGGGCATCCATATATATATATATATGTAGAATTGTTGCCAATTGTGTAACAATGGATCGGCATTTTGATGAGTTCAACAATGGAAACATAGAAGCCGAATTCAAAGGCGAGAGACAATCGAAACAATGCAGGCATAGAATGCCAAAATCAAAGGATTTTCCCAATTTTCCCAAACGAACAATAGAGAATCGTGACTTTCCCGATTGAGTGGGCAATTGAGGTTCGCTAATCGACACTTAGGTCTATAATCGTGCTATTAAATTGGGTTCGGCTGCTAGCCTGAGATCCCCTTTGTGGTCATCCTCTTCGATTCGACCAATCGCCTTTAGTTTTGCTCGTGACGTTGTGCAGTTAAAATTGGTTCTGCACGTGCATGTTGAACGGTAGCCAGAATAGATCAGAAACTTCTCGTAATCGAGAATGGTGCTTTCATCCTGTCAAGCGTCAACATAATTAGACGTATTTCCAATTTGCTATGTAGGATACAAAAGAAAGTGCGGGAATATGCGATTTCACGAGTTTCTGCAAGAATTAACTTTCATGCATGAGTCGTGGAAAATATATTGTAAGTGTTTCAAATCTGTTTAGTTTTTCGCAAGTTTTGCAAAGTCGGTGAAAGTTATTCGAAGATTTCCAGGCTTTGCGAAATTGTCACAAAATGCTTGCAGGGACTTTTCAATTTTCTCTGGGGTTGATCCAAAATTCATTCGAAATTTTTCAGACCCCATATTTTTATATAAAGAAAAGGTCAATATGTTGGATAAGATAGTTTGGTGCAGGAATAACGTAAAAAAAAATAGAAATTTGGATCGTGTGAGGTCAGACCAACAGTTACGGGAATAATCAATTAATAATCTTGGGATCTGTGACTACATTTCTTCATCAAATAGTTGAATTGCCGAGTTGAAGAAATCTTTGCACTCGCAACTAGGAAGTTTACGAAATTAAAAGTTTGGCTGCTCACAATTACGTACGAAAGATTCCCCTTCGTAATCAAGTAATTGCACTGCCGCGAGATCATTATGCTGGAACCGTTTTGTCAGCGCGGGTCGTTAGGGATCGTTAGGCACGCATCGATTTCTCCTTCTTGCAAAGGTTGATAGTGGAATTCAAAGATCAGGGTTTGGTGAACTTACTGCGTAATGACGTTATGACGGTCACTACGCAGTAAAGAAAGTTTCGTTAAGAAACTTAATCGTTAAGAAACTTAATCGTTATGACGGTGAAGTACTCAGCCAACGACCTGATACTTCACCGTCATAAGAAGAACCCTATCGTTACATTTGGTGACAGAGTCGGATGGTGGTGAAGTAGAGAAGTAGAATCGGATGGCGGTGACGAAAAGAATCAATTGAAACTTTTTTGTTATTTGGTGTTCCTTTTTATATTTTGCGAGGAGGAGGATGGTCGACATGGAAATTTGGAATTAATCTATTCGTGTACTGCTGATTATCATGTTTTATTTTGAAAAATATTGCCAACCAACCAACATACCTTTCCTCTAATATGGAGTAGAAGACGATGAAGTTCTGGTGATTTAGGAGGACGTTATTTTCCGAATACAGTTTAGGGGTGCTGGCCATAGAGGGCTGCAGCAGAAGGACGGCAGGATCCTTCGGATTTGACTTTTATTTCTGTGGATGTCATTATGGATTTGGAAATATCAAGCGATGTTGTATGAATTACCTTTGCTTGCCAGTTCATGCCTACGGGCCTCAATGACTCTATGGACCTTTTATGTTAAGTCACTTTTAAATTTTTAAGAAACTTTCATCGGCGTATTTACTTTAAAGAGAGGGGATGGTGTAACGTTTTAACATCAGTAAACTTTAGTAATTATTGTTATTATGTTCAGCTAGATCTTTGATTATGTTGCGTGTTAATGTCACATGTTTGTTTGTCGCGCTGTTGTGTTAGTAACTCCCTTTCCGGGAAATGTGCGTCACTGTCATCGTGTTGTGTGATGTTTCACAGTGTTCCTTTGTTGTGTTTTAATATAATGTAATCCTAGTTAGAATAATTTAGTCTTACTGTTTTAACGATAAACATAACATCAGATAACGAGTATCTCTTGTGTGCTATCTACTTGGGGCTAGGCCCGTTGGCCTAGCCCATCGCTCAGCCAACGACCTGATACTTCACCGTCATAAGAAGAACCCTATCGTTACAGTTATCAAGCGAAAAATGTCCTTCGTCAAATAAAAAAACAGATTCCCAGTTAGGTTCCACTCACAGAGCCCCAATAAATGAGTTCTGTAATCTTGGCGAGTCATAGCTCGTGCCACCGTTTTTTAGGTATTTTAAGTCTGTGAATCGCAATTTCATAGAGCATAAAGGTTCTTAGTTGTCTGGGAAACAGACTGGAAGCGCATCTAGAAAAGTTCAGACTTTTAATACATTTGGAATCTTCGTTGTCGTCATCATTGTCATCGTCGTCATCATAATCATCATCATCAATCATCATCATCATAATCATAATCATCAATCATCATCATCATCATAATCATAATCATCATCAATCATCATCAATCATCATCATCATCAGTTCTGTCCACATCGCCAATTCATAATATCGAAGTACCATTCCTCCACATTCTTCGTACATTGCAAAAGCCGTGCTATTTTTATAACACGTAGAAGATTTGCCGCTTCCAGGAATGTAATAAGCGCGGAATAAAGAAAATGGCATTAACAGATAATTCGATGAATGCTTAATAGAAAATAATTGCAGTTTTGATGAGCGTCTATTACCATTCCATAGGCTTTCACTTGACTGTACGGAAATAATCCAAGAAGCAATTAAATAATACTATGGCTGACAGAAAGTTGATTTATTAAGCAAAAGTTGTATAGGATTCCAGGTGCATGCTTCTCGTTTCATTAAATCAATGTTGACTCGTAGCAGTTTCAGAATTCACCCATTGTAACAAGTGCATGTACCACCAACAAAATATGTCCAGCAAATGGGGATTAATGATTCAAGAGTCTGCGGTTTCGAGTTCTTGACGTCACCCAACTTTCAATAAGAGTAAGGGGAGTCAGCAGCTTTCTGCAATTCCAGGTGTAAGAATCACAAGGTGTGGTCAAATTGAGAGGAAGTACCGGGACACTGCTCGATAAGCATAGCTTCTCAGTGTCCTCAAACTACCTTCAGATGCTAGATAGCTGCAAAGACAAACGTAGATTTTATTTCAATTAAGTAATTCTATAGTTGAGTAGAAGTAACATAAAAAACATAAACAATTTCTCAAGTAATAAAGGTTTAGTGCGAAGAAGGAAGGTTTTAATATCTCTTTAGTTTCTTTGTGGTTACCACCTTAAAAACCAAAATTGTTCTTGGTTCTGTATGACTATGGCTCTACACATTCTTATTGCAGAATTTTGACAGCACTTCGCCATGAATGCAGTCTTGTGTATTGTCACCAATTTTGTTTGTTATTGAAACTTAAAGCCAAACCTAATCTTTCCAATTTTATCCATGCCTCCTTCTTGACCAGTTATTTTCAATCTCTAGAATCCAGTTTGAGTCGATACAAGCTGAACTAAACTCTCCTATGCACTTAAAGGTATGTGTCTATCTATTTTTAAAAACTTTGATTCGGTATGGGTATTTGTTTTCAAATCATTCACTCCTCAAGAGGGTGTTCCGATATAAATATGAGGTAGCTCCATTGCTCGAAGATTCTTAATAAATGCCTGCTTCATTAAACACCAATGAACACGGTGTAATTGCGAAGTTAAAGGTGAATTTGATACGTTGTTTTAAAGGTGGGAAGCCGATAGTAACTGGTGTAACAGTATTTTGAAAAAGGCTCACTGTCGACTAAAAACTTAAGGAACATAGAAATCTTACAGTGAAGCTAGAATGTAATCCCGGTCTTACTGAAATGTTGTTTATTTTTTATGTATATACGGCTGTGATTTTATGTTGATGATCGTCTTCTATACATTTGTATAATTGTGAATAGCTTTTCAAAGAAGTCAATTTACGAGGCATCGAATTCCGTAAATTTGTCGTTCTTGTAGCCGGAAAGATTTGCCGCTGATTTTGTATTTATTTTCTCGAAGCGTTACGAACCTTTTTTCTCGAAGCTTCACGAACCTTCTTTTCTCGAATCTTTACGAACCAGATCTTGTTGCTCTCGAATGTAATTCACTTGTTAGTTTCTTTCGTTTTTGTAGATAAACTGAACTGATCTTGTTTACACTGCTTAACACCATATTCAGAATTTTCTTCTCTATTCTGTCAGCTAAATTGCAATAGCTTTCATTTATTGCATTTAACACGTTATAGACGCTTGCAACTTTTTTCAGGCATGTATTTGAAGCAGAACTTTAAACCTCACTGCAGTAGTCTATGTGAGGTAAAATGAGAGCGTTTAGCCAAAGCTTCTAGCGTTAATATTCAGGAACGGCAGTGCTCTTTCAGTGTTATTGAAAAACCGGTTTGCTCGATACTTTTTGGTTTTTTGAAGAGACCAACTTGTTGTGAAACCATCTGCTGGTGAAGATTGTGACATAAACGAGGGAGTATTATCTCCAAAGTTTTTTTTTCAATTAAAACAGTTTTTCTACGCGGCTATCATTGGCTCAAGATGCTGTTCTTCTAGATTTTCTTAGAATTAGGATAGTTCCCTCTGTGTGGCTATCGTTGGCTCAAGATTGAGTCAGGACAGTTCCTGATTTCAGTTTCCTTTGACTGAGAATTAGCTTGTTAAGTTTTCACTTTGAGGTTGGCTCCTGATTTCAGTTCCCTTGGACTGAGAATTAGCTTCTTAAGTTGTCACTTTAATACTGAAAAGTCTTCTTTGAGGTGAATCGACTTGCTGTGATTAAACATCCAATCGTTGTGATCATCACAGACACCGGCTAGGCCATTATTGCTTCTGTTGCACACCTGCGGCTAGCTTTTTATCTTACTTGTGTCATGTCCTCGTTTATGTCCCTTGACCTGTTTACTTTGTTTCTCATACCCTAAGAAAAGACTGTTATTTTGTCTCAGCAGTGTTTAAGCTGCTGGGTGTTCCGAGAGATTTTGGCACTATTGGTTGTGCTTCTACTGTTTCTCCAAGTCGATAAAAAATGAAGAATATGAAGAAATTCCGATTCCTTACTTTGTAAATGGTAATGGATGATTAAGGTTGCCTCAAAAAACTTTTGTTCTCCCAACCTGCTTGGTATATAGAAAAGATTTCTAATTAACCTGTGCAATCTGCTGAAGGGAACGTTTAGCTAGACATTTTTCATAAACGCTATGTGTAGAGCCATGCAACGTATGGTTGAGGGTAGGGGGCTCAAACGTACCCCCAGAAAGTTTTGATAGCAACAAAGATGTAATCATCTAATTTTACAAGTCTGGGCAACTGATTCACACCTCTCACCACATCTTTAATCTACCATACCATACTATACCATACCATACTATACCATACCATACCATACCATACCATACCATACCATACCATACCATACCATACCATACCATACCATACCATACCATACCATACCACACCACACCATACCATACCATTCCATACCATACCATACCATACCATACCATACCATACCATACCATACCATACCATACCACACCACACCACACCACACCACACCATACCATACCATACCATACCATACCATTCCATACCATTCCATACCATACCAAACCTTTGATCTGCCATATCAAACTCTCATACTGAAAATATGAGATTAATTTTTCGTGCTGGAAAGTGTCCTACACAATGCCTATTTTTCAATCTTAGCATAACTTATCTTTCAAGAACCGATGGACATTTGATTGCAAAGATTAGGTTTTTGCTGAGGGAAATATTTAAACAATTGAGAATACTGCTTTAGAATGAAGCATAGTAATTTCGCAGGTATTTTCAGCTTCAGGTAGAAACTTTATATGTTTAAATAATGCATGTTGCAGAACTGAATTGCAGCAAAGGGCTTTAATGCGCCTTCATGTCAGTACTTAACGCGCCAGTACCTTGAAATACAGTAGAAGAATATGCTGAATGAATATGCGCATTATCCATATCAGAATATTACCTTATTGTTGCTAAAGAGGGTGGTGCTTTTTGTGGTATGAATAACCAGACAAGGCCTTTTAAAGAATTGTTCAATGCTACGTAGGAAATACTTTTAAACAATCTTTTGGTGGTGCAAAACTTCAAAATGGCTTTGAAAAGAGCAAACATAAAGAGTAATCTTGAAGAGTGTCAGACGAAAAGCTTTAGTTTACGAAATACTTTTATGAACCTATGAATTCTGCTGAAAGGAACGTTTAGCTATACCTTCTTCATAAAGGCCAAGTGACAAGCGATAACAAGGGGAATCAAAAGTATCCCAGAAAGTTCTTGATAACAGTAAAAAGTTTACTAATCTGGGCCAACAGAATCACGACCCTCCATTTACCGGCTCTGTCATAAACTAGACTACCTATGTAGCTGATTGGCACTCTAATGCCACACCCTTGCACATTTGATTTCGTCAGCTTCGATTGTCTGTTTAGCTAAGCCCAACTTCTGAAAAGCTCGATCAGTGTCAAGTTTTATTAGCTGTCCCTTCAATATATCTAGAAACAGCAAGCGCTGACTGATGTATTCAGAATTAGCTGTCTTCTAATTTGCTATCATTGTAGTTTCATCATTCGAGCAGCTCGTTAAGAAACATTAACAAAACATATTTCTCGTTTCTATATTATTACTTGACGTGACTCCCCGTTTGCTGATAATAAGGGTTGTTTGCCGGAAATTGGAGCAAAAAGCCCCATAAATATTAAACCCCATCGATAAAAAAAATATGCGTGAAAAGGGCTTGTGCCAATTGATAATATTTGATTGAAATTTTTTATCTTGAACAAACAATGAATTTTTACAATTAGAAAATCTTATGAAATTGCTCAGATTGTTCTCTACATCACGTATGCTTAAGTGATTTCTAAATTGCCAAACTAGAAGTACATAGAGTTAATTGAATAAGTGTTTATGCGATGGAAATCTTTTTGTCATTTATTTTAATTGGACCACATGATATGAAAAAGCCGCAAAGAGTTTTCACGAATTGTATTTAAGACGCATTCGCAGTAATGCACGTTTTCCCGCACAAGAAAGTCCTTACAGTAAATAATTGAATTTCTGGGAAGCTATGATCGCCAAAATCCTAAAAAAATTTAATTGGCCAATTTTTTGCACTAAAGTTCGATTGTTTGTTCTGATCAATAGATGCACCAATTTTTGTTTTCGGTCTTCATAAATGCCGAGTTTTGCTCGAAATTTTTAGCTTAGGTTAGTTATTTTCGTATTACTTCTGTTGAATAAGATGAATGTAAGGCTGTAGAGTTCAAACCTTTGTAAAAATCTCAACCGTTAACGGGACATGGGTTGAAAACGCAAACCTTGAAAAGTTATTTTTCTTACAAAGTCTTGCTAGAAAACGGATTTTCAATTTTTTGTTTATACATTTCAAATCTTTCATCGACGTTCATTTCTTGCAACGTAAATATTTTAATTTAAAATCCGTGGAGCCAAAATAATTAGAATGCTACAGATTGCTCAGTTAGTATCGGTGTGGGGTGTCTTTCTGCGCTGGGGCGGGTTGTTGTTTGTGAGGGGGTGGCTGCTCATATCTCTGTAATATTCTGAAAAGTTCCTAAGTTTGCAAAGATAGCAAAAATACTGTGAATAGAGATATTTCTTCATAGTATACGATTTTTCTAGAAACCTGGCCGCATAATTTGGTGTAATTGTATACTTTTATTACCTATCTGTATAAGATTCTTTTCGCAGTAACTGACAAGGCACCTTGTTTTCAAATTTACTCGCGAGCCAATTAATCACCGTAATTCCGCCTCACACCCCCTACTTTGGCCTACCTCCTGCTGCACCAACTCTTTTTATGTTTTCTGATTTGAAGTATGATATATATACGTATCAGATCAGTTGTTAAATCTGGCACACTGAGATTGCGGTGTGTTATAACGAAAGTAAATTTTTTTGTCGTTTAACAGCTCCGAGGTCTTATTTGCCTTTGAAGATTTTTTGTGAATCAAGTGAAGTTTTGAACCTCTAATCTCAAATCACGCTTTGTTCCGTGCTTTCATACGTTAATGTATCTGGGCCGTTAGTTAATCATTAGGACAATCTATGACAGGAACCTGGTAAAGCTGTGTTAATGTTGGTATTTTTTTGTCCCAGCTTGTAAGAGTTCAAACACCTTATGCACGTTAAGGTTAATTCAATTTCTATCTTAGAATACGTTAATGAAATATGCTCTATTAGACACTTTAATCTACTGGCTTTTAAGGGTATACAACCCGCTCCTAATGGTCACGAATCTTGAAAACCATTAGTTCGTATTCAAATGCAGTATAAAATTCTTCCTGTATCCATTTACACCTTTTCCTGGTTAGAGTGCCGATTATTCTATCAAGCGTTTTCATTTAGACCTTTACGTAAAAATATGCCTTCTGTCACATTCCCAATAGACCATGTAATATGTCACAGTCGGAGCCTTGAGTAAACAAGCACGATAATTTTCCTTTGCTTGTGTCCAGACATAATTTGGATACCATTGCCAAATTTATTTCAAAATCAAATTTAATTGTCGACTTTAAACTACCGCTGTTATGAATCCATGATCACCTAACAAATCAAACTCAAGTATAGTCGTCTAACTTGTATGCTTAATCAAGTAATAGCAGACAATGACAAGAAAGGCAGTAAAACAAGTCTCTGTAACTTTCATTTCGAAAGACTTCTTTAGGCGGTGATCGACTAAGAAATATATGCTGATGTATGCCAGTCTAAGATATGCGTGGTCCAGTAGTTTCAGTCTCCTTGAAGAAGAGCAGTAACTGTAGTCTCTCTCTCTTTCTTCCACTTTGAAAGATTTCGTTAGACTCTTACTACCTAAGTAATATATGATAATGTATGCCAGTTTAAGGTTGGCTTTGTCCAGTAATTGCATTCACTTTCAAGAAGAGCAGTAACTATAGTCTCTCTCTCTCTCTCTCTCTCTCTCTCTCTCTCTCTCTCTCTCTCTCTCTCTCTCTTTAACTTTGAAAGATTTCTTCAGAATCTCACTACCTTAGTAACCTTAGTAATATATGATAATGTATGCCAGTCTAAGGTTGGCTTTGTCCAGTAATTGCATTCACTTTCAAGAAGAGCAGTAACTATAGTCTCTCTCTCTCTTTCACTTTGAAAGATTTCTTCAGACTCTCACTACCTAAGTAATATATGATAATGTATGCCAGTCTAAGGTATGCAGTCTCCTTCAAGAAGAGCAGTAACTGTAGTCTCTCTCTCTTTCTTTCACTTTGAAAGATTTCTTCAGACTCTCACTACCTAAGTAATATATGATAATGTATGCCAGTCTAAGGTATGCAGTCTCCTTCAAGAAGAGCAGTAACTGTAGTCTCTCTCTCTTTCTTTCACTTTGAAAGATTTCTTCAGACTCTCACTACCTAAGTAATATATGATAATGTATGCCAGTCTAAGGTATGCAGTCTCCTTCAAGAAGAGCAGTAACTGTAGTCTCTCTCTCTTCTTTCACTTTGAAAGATTTCTTCAGACTCTCACTACCTAAGTAATATATGATAATGTATGCCAGTCTAAGGTATGCAGTCTCCTTCAAGAAGAGCAATAACTATAGTCTCTCTCTCTCTCTTTCACTTTGAAAGATTTCTTTAGACTCTAACTACCTTAGTAATATATGATAATGTATGCCAGTCTAAGGTATGCAGTCTCCTTCAAGAAGAGCAATAACTATAGTCTCTCTCTCTCTCTTTCACTTTGAAAGATTTCTTTAGACTCTAACTACCTTAGTAATATATGATAATGTATGCCAGTCTAAGGTATGCTTGGTCCAGTAATTGCACTCTCCTTCAAGAATAGCAGTCACTAAAAATAGCTGTCAGAAATAAATGCTAATGAATGCCATTCTAAGGTGTGCTTGGTCCAGTAATCGTGGTCAGCTTCAAGAAGAGCAGTCACTAAAGTCTCTGTCACTCTCTGTCTCTTTTTAAGGCTTCTGTAGACGGTTACCACCTCAGAATTATAATCCGGGTTTATGACACGTGTTTTTAGCTGCTCTTTATTTTTTTCTCTCGTAAGGCGTGGCGGATACGGTGGTTTACACCCGTGCATTTGAAGTTTGATGTTTCTGTACTGAGGTAGTGATGGGTAGAGAGATCACTTAATCTTGTGGTTCATTCGTTATTGATAGCGTTAACACCTATTAAAGCAGGTGGGAGAAATGATAGCCAACTGTGAGGTTTTCAACTGCGGTAGAATAATCGAAATCGTTATTTTTGTCGCCTTAGAAAAAGATTGTTTATGATAGTAGCTTTGAAAAAAGGCCCTGTATTTTATTGTAGTTTTGGAGATGAAAACTTTGGGAGACGGATAAAATGTGTTGTATCTATGAAAATTGATTAGATTTAATATGTACCTGACACCATATTAAGAACATAATCGAAGGTATTTGACGACGGTACATAACACGTTGAAGTACTTTCCCGTCTGACACTCTTCAGAGTATAAACGTTAGTTGAGAAGGCCTTTATTACGATGCGTTTCCACTATTTCGTGCCATCTTAAAGTTTTGCGGTACCAAAAGCTATTCGATTGAAAATATTTTTCCAAGTGGATTCTCAACTTCCCCTTATTGATCTTGTCTTGAAATTGTAATTTATTTGTTCATTAAAAGTTAGTAGCAAATAAGAAACGCCGCAATGCGACGAAAATGAGCAACAATAAATACACGCAAATCAGTGAAGGCTAATATTTCGCCCCGGCATACAGTTTTATCGATTTTTCGCCGCAAGAATTCCTTCGGAGTCCATCGACCAGCCTGCTATCGTGACCTTTTCTTTATTAACAAATTAATAGTTAGCCTTAAGTAGGTCCATTTTATGCTGCCACCAGTCGGTTGGTTTGCCATCTAACTATTTAACATGCCTTATGTATAAAAATCAAGGTAATCTTCAAATAGGATACACGAATTTCGAGTTTCTGCTTTTGAAATAACTAATTTGTTTTTAATGTTTCGATTGAGTATAACACTGTGAAGTTTCGTTTCCGTTTTCTAGGGTCGATTGCACGAGTTGATGTCACAGATTCGACTTCAATCCCATGGTGCAGTTCAGAGAACCGAGCCAAAATACGCGATGGATGAAAACATGAAGCAGGAAATCAGACAGGTACGGCCTGTAGAATTCTTCTTTTGATTTCGTTGTAATAATTCCTTTGCCATGCAGTTTAATTGAAATTTCATAACATGATGAAAATGTCGTAGAACTTTTCTCATCAAATTATCATTTAATTTTTGTTTTATCAAATGTTAAACAAATTATATTAAACTCCTTTTCATTTTCATCGTGATAATATTTCTTTTATTTTTCTTTACATGACTGTATTTTATTGATTCCATTTTCTAGCTGTCGACTTCTACGCTCTCTTTTGATAACTTTTCCATTCATTTGCATCTTCTAAGAATTGTTTATCCCAAAAATGCAGTAGTTTTGGACAACGTAGGCTCCGTGCCACGTCAACGTTTTTATCTAGATTCTTCAAAACCAGTTGCTGTTAGGTAACAGTTAAAAGTTTTTTATAGAACATCGGTAGGGCTCGATTTTCTAAGAATAAGAACCACGTTAGAATCTCGCCAGCCTCCGATGAATAAGTAGAAGAAAAAAGCAATGTGTTTTTCAAAACTTTCTCTCTTATTAGCAAAGGAGAACAGGTTTTATCAGCTTAGTAACCGTGATACTGAAAGTTTCATGCAAAAATGTTGTTCAGAGGTCTAAAGAACTATTTATAGTATGGTGTTGAAGAAAAATCGATGTCGAATTAAAGTTAACATTTAAAATACCCAAGGGCATAAATTATCTAAAAATAATAATAATATCGAGTCTCGGCAAAAAGTTTCTTTTTTAAAGAAGAGTGAGTTATAAACAATTATTTCCGAAATGAAATGTTTCTAGTGAAGTTTCAGATGCCTTAATTTGGTGACCCCTTTAGAAAGTTTTAGCTAGAATCATCCATAACAGAATTCATTGGTTGTCATTCTTTTTTATGACCAAGAAAATCTTGACATTTTCAGCAACAGTTGAGATATTCAAGATATCAATTGTACATCCATACAAGCTTTTCCCACAAACAAAATCACGATTCATCTATCGATTCATATCTTGTTGTCATTGAGTTAAATTAAAGTTGTTCAAAAACTGTCAGTTGCAATCCGCAAATTATAACATGGTGTAAAGAACGTCGAACCTCGGCAAAAGTTGTCTAGTTCTTATTAAAAAGGGGTGTGATAAACAAGATCATGAAGTTGAAAAATATCTTTCAATACTAGGCTCGAATGTCGAACGAGTTGAATGATTATTAAGGACTTAATTTGTCATTCATGTTTAGATGATTAGTTTTATGGAGTTCGACATATATATTGATGTTTTGGTAGAGTTGGATATGAATTCATTGGACCACACCGAACCTCTTAACTGCCATCAAATAATACTCTTAGGAGGGGGGTGCGATAGAAAATGTGCCAAATTGTAGTGTACCAAGACTTTGTTTTCAGATATTACCTGTAAATGCAAGCTTAAGCAAGCCAACACGGCAACCTTTTTTCTGACTAATCATGACTCATACTTTATCCGATGTCTGCAACCGTTAGTTACTTGTTCCCTTCATTTAATGCATTGTGATGTTAGATTGTAATCAGCTGTTTTAAAGGCAGTACTTCAAATGAGCCTTCAAACGTTTCAGCAATGATACTGTTCTTTCGTAATGAGAATTTTATCAATTGGATCCAAATGATTTTCAAAGAATGAGTGTGTTCAAATTTTGATGAAATTATGCTTAATAAACATTATTTCACTATCTTTTATCAATCGCTTAAAATGTTGAAAAAACACATTAAAAATCAACCTATACTTAACAATTTTATACATTGTTTGAAAGACAAGGCATTTAAAAATATCTAATTTATTGCTGATAAAATGTTTTTATTAAGATAGTCCAAATTTCTGCTTGTAAAAACCAGATTCTACTTCTAAATCAAAAGCATCTTTGGAGTATGGTTATATTGAAAGCACCTTGTCCCATCAGTGAACCGTTCAGAGAGTTAACAATAGGCTTTTGCAGCGTGTTTAAAATCGAGAAGCTATCAATAGCTTAAAATGAAGGTTAGCAGATTGGCTCCGTAACAATAGGACTATTGTATAATCTAACCAATGGGAATTTAAATGGCCAGTGAAATGCGTCGGGACAGTGCCTTTAAATATGTACATTGCGTGTGGTACTTCATCCAAAAAACGATAATAAAGTAAGCGAATAAATTGAGTACTAGATTCAGTTTTACATTTACGTAGAATTCTTGAAGGGTAAATCAAACTGCTGTTTTGCTTCGAGGTTTTGTTTATTGAGGTTCATAGACAATACTGTTCTCCCTTCCTTTTTTATAAATCACGATGTCCTCTACCCATTTGTTAGAACAATCTAAATTTTTTCTGCTATTTCTAATTATTCTCTTTATTATTCTGCAATTTCAATTCGCGTCTATGGACAATGACCTACCTTTTCTAAAAAGTTAGTGAAACTGCTTAAAATTTTGTACAAGATGTTTTCATGATTTGTTCTTCCTAAATTATGTCTGGCGTGGCCATCAAAGCTCCACCCCAGTCTACTTTCTGCTCAGCCTCGCCCCCTTTGCAGTCTCTGGAAGGCATTTGACATTCTCTTTCTGTTTATTTTCTAGCATCTCGAAAACCAGCAAAACGGAATATTGCAACTTATAAACATCGTGAAAGACGACCTTGATGACTTGCGAACAATGGGTCTTGAATTGCTAGAAGGACAAGCAAGATGATGTATCGAAATCAAAGAAACGCGTGGCGAAAATCCACTAACTATACCGTACCCTGACAGTGTGCCGTTTAATCGTACAGAGGGCTCTTATTAAATTTGATGCTGATTTTAACGACACATTTCCATGGAATAAGAATATCGACAGTTGGAAGATTTTTGTAATCTACCAGAACGGTTAGTAGGCTGTTCTTATTTGTGTCCTTAAAAACATGTTAGTCGCGTACAGTATTTAGAGACCGTTTCTTCACATATGGTTTGTGGAGATTAAAAGCTTGATAGAATGCAAGTTAACTTAGAAGTTGTCAAAATGTGCTGTTGAAACTTAATTTAATTATTCCACTCTTATTGGACATAATTAATTGATTTTTTGTTGCGAAATATTGAAAAGTGCGGTAGAAAAATTATGAAAAAGTCTAGTAACCCCATTCTTATTCTCGTCTGGAAAAAAATAGTCATTCTTGAAATACTGTTAAGCAAATTTTTAATCAATCTTTTGGTGGTACAAAACTTGAAAATTGCTTTGAAAAACATTTAGTAAACTAAAGCTTTTCGTCTGACACTCTTCAGAGTTCGTTTTCACCTTAGGACTCCATTGGTAACATTCTCAATAGGCAAGCGGCACTGATTGATCAACCTCAACAGTCATGTGCTCGTGTTTCTGATTGGCCTATTTCGATCCACAACTGGGTATATATATTTCCTAGCGTAGAGTTTTCGGTCTATGTTCTGACGTTTTAAACTCTGAAGAAGAGTGTCAGACGAAAAGCTTTAGTTTACTAAATGTTTGCTTTTTTCAAAGCCATTTTCAAATTTTCAATCGCTGTTTTTCTCTCCATCGTACGTACCTCTAGAGAGGTACTGATAAAAAGTGGCTGAGAGATTTGTTGCATGGCAACGTAATGTTGGCGTTAAATCATTCTCAAATATTCCTGTGCCTGCTGCCAAGATGCGAATTTCAATGATACAATTTTTTAAATCGAATCCAGATAAGCCTGAAGTCATTTGATCCTTAACGAAGGTCGTTTGGTTGAATAAATTAATTCAGATCAACATACTAATCCTATTCCGTGAGAAATGTTTCCTCTCACCAGTTCCTCAGTTCTTGCTCTCTGGTCTTTGCGGCGTGAAATTTCCTTGATACTGCTTGTCATTGCCCTCAGGGATAAATCAATTTCCCTCAGTTTGTGAATTAATTTCTGCAACCATGTTCTTTAAAATCTTCACATCATCATAGATCTCGAATAACCTGGGAGATGGGAAAAGCGGGGTCGGGGAGTTAGGAATAAAATCACTTGGAATAAAAATGCAAGACACAAGGGAAAACATCGATTAACAAGAAGAAATTGTACATTAAAATGAACTCTTAACCGGATAATTGATAAAAACAGATGTTTTTTATCGGCCAATTTTTAAGGTCAATGTCCAAAAAATTAATAAGCAGGGGGGTGGGGGGCTGGGCTGTAACTAGTCCAGGGGTCAGAAAAATTTATGAGCGGGGGTGTTAACTAGAGGCCTAAGGGTAGAAGATACTCTTAGGAAAGCCAATACTCAAAAACATTTTTATCATTTTTTTTCTTGACTTCTTGACGAGGTTCCTTTTTAGTCAGCCAACTCCCCCCTCTTTTCTGTTTTATCAGCTGATCTGGTTAGTGATTATATTTATGATATGAGTAAAAGAAGTGAGGAAATTTCTTGTTCCCCATAACTTTACGCCAATGATATAACGATCAAGTCTAATTGACTGATGACTTTGCATGGGGTCAGAACATTGGATCAGGACTCAACCAACTCTAAATCTATGTGATTATTTGCCATTATTGATATATTCAATTCAGCCATGCAAACGGATTTCGGCACGTATTTCGAAATGAGCAGCTAAATGTCAAGGCCTAAGTGTATCCCATTGGTTAACCAAAGCCTGATGTATAACTCAGTCGTCCATATGCGGACCACCTATGCTCTTTATTGAGATTGTACCAAAAACCGTGGGAATGTGTGCCCTTTTTAATTCATGCGGGTATCGGAAAAGAGTTCTTGTCCAATTTTTGTGGCTTAGCCCAAGTCCCATACCGAAAGGCGCCTACAATTAAACCTTTGAAATGTTTCTCGTTGCGTTATAACTTTTTCCATCTTTTCTTGTATTAAGATGAACCCGCCCCCCCCCCCCCCATGAATATACCGCTACCCATTGAGGTGCTGCTCACATACCTTCCTGAACCTTCTTGTAGTGTTATCGGAAGGGATGGGTTGTGCCTCAGTCAATTTAAAATTCTTCCAAAAAGTTAGAAAATAATTGGCATTACTGACGAATACGCACTTAAACAGCAAAATGGGTGTACTGACAAGAAAATGAGCCACAGTCAATTAAAGCTGCACCGAACCCTAAACTGCATCCATTTAAATCTACCTACCGTTCAAGATTTCCAGAAGTTATATAGGATATTTTGTATCACAAAGGATGAACAAGTCTGAATTTTTGAACTCGCAACAGAAGAAGATGCTTGATAAGATACTTCAGCTTCACGAAATGTTTTGGTCAAAACCGCTCCTCGAAAGAGAAGTCAAATGACAGAATGACTCAGACATTTTCTCGGTTTTCTTGAAGCTCCTGTTTACAATTTTGAATTCTCTAGTGAATTTCCAGAGCATCTCCAAAATCGACCAGATTTTGTCAAGAAACGTTTTGAACTTTATGGCATCAAAGATTCCTTAAAAAGACATAAAACTTCCGTTGAAGAAGGGTTTAATGGCAGAACGGACCAAATTTAACCTCTAGTTCGAAAACTAAACCCCCCCCCCCCTTCAAGGGCCTCCAGAAAAATGTCAATTTACCGTAAAGCTTGTATCATGAACGCGACAAACGATATAAAGGTGCCCTGATATTGCATGGTATCTCAGTCTAATCTCAGTCTAAGTCTGTTGATTACAATTTTATGTTTTTTATGTTGTTTTACAAATGCTTATCATTGAGGGGCCTGAAGAATCCCTAAGGGCCCCGGCTGCCTTAGATATACCAGTGTTTTATGGCTTTCTTATAACCTAGCAATAGGCCTTCTCTCCTGTTCCATTTATTTGGTTGAATTTGTAAATATTCCTTTTTTGTAACTTTGTGGGTCTATTGAAGATAGAAATCGATTATGGAAAGTGCTTCTCGTCGAGATTTTCCTTGCTACATAAATTTTAAGCTCTCTTCGAAATGTAGACCACTATTTCAATCAAATGACCCAAATTTTTTTCAACCAAATGGCAAAAATATTTTGGCACAAAAGTTTTTGGAAATCAATGTCATCTACATCTGCTTCAATCAAACCAACAGAGGTGTTAGTGAACAGTTTAACTCAAAGCTACACGAATAAATACAGCAATGATAGATATTTGAGAGACAAGACAAAAGTTTCAAGTTGTTCCTGATTTTAATGCAAAAGAATAACGACATATAATTTTGAAGATAGTTGCTCTATAATAAATAGGATTATGTCTATTTACAAGGAGTTGCAGCTAAGCTGCCTCAAAGGTATAAAACGATGCCAAATAATGCCACTACTTAAAATTACCGATGTACATAATGATACTTACATATGCTACACGTGAAAGCATTTTTTGGGTTGGGGTTATACACCCCTTTATGTCAGTCCTCCATAACATGACGCTTAGCATGACGACATCAAAGATTTGCCCTGCCGTCATCGAGTGTTGCATTTTCAAAGTAATGACATTGAAACATCCGATTGGGCTTAGAAACACAACCAGAAAACGACTAATGTCAAAACAACTTAAGATTGTGACATTGAATTGTCAGAATGGATGTAAGGTTGTGTTTTTGCTTGATTAATTATCATTCCATATGTCCAGTGGCTGGGATCGACATAAATTATCATTTTCATCCCCAACTTTTTTGGTCTTTCGTTGACTGAGGTGGGTCTTTTGTAAAAGCCAATCTTTTTAATGATAATTTTTGTTAGCAATCAAGGGTTTGTATAAAGCGTCTTTCGGCGATAGATAGTCAAAAGCAAAATTTAAGGGGGAGCGTCAAATTTAAGGTGGTACGCTGTAGATGTCTAAATAAGAATGCCATTAGAGAGTGTTGAAAAGACTGGCTACTTTCAACATCACTCACTATTCAAAGTCATTGAGTACTTTTTACGTACGAAAACGTATGATTTTGTTCAATCATACGTCAGCTTAAAATAATAAAGACCTCGTGTATGGAGATCGTTGGAAGTAGTCGTTGCTCTATGTTAATATAGAGACTTCTTCATCCCTTTATTACGGATGTTAACAAAATATTTACAGTTGGTGATAATTTTTCATTTATCAAAGATAATATTTACAACAAGTCAAATCTAAAGGGTGGAAAACGTCAATTATAAAGCTTTAAGTAACACCTTTCTGTTTCTCATCACCTAATCAAGTTTTCTGAGTAGTTTTTCGCATGTTTTCTAGTTATTTCCAAAGTCGTAAGGAAATAAAGTATTTTTGTTAGCTATAGAAGGGAATTTGTCAAATATGATATTTTTAAAAAAAAAATTCTAAGGGGACATCCTTTTGCCAAATAGTTTCTTTTTTTAAAACAGGGGACATACAGGGGCTAAGCCCCCAAGTTGGAGAGAAATACTGTTGGTGGTTCATATACTTTGGCTTTAGCCACCCCCTTTTTTATTAAAGATCACTTAGCCTGAAAGGAACTACAGAAAGTAACTTTGAAAGGAACTACAGAAAGTAACTTTGAAAGTTCAAAATCTGATAAATAAGGTTAGATATAGAGAAATATGGTCAATGAAAGATTTTTATTTTGCTAGCGAATTACTGCAATTTTGACTTGGTTCATACAGGTTTTGAAGGACAGATTGCAGGCCATGTGACCATATTCCAGCCAATTGTAACACGTTTAACTGATTTTGGAAATTAAAGGGATATTTCCTGATGCTCTTTCAGGTTTTTTGATCGAATGAAAAAATTTAAAAAGGTTTCTATGACGTCATTACCTTAGAGCTATATAGGAGCCTACAACAATTATATCCATTGCATGTTTTGTATGCATCAACTTCATGGCTTTCCTAATAAAGAGCCTAGACACCTCATTCCCAATGTGGATGGAAATTCGAATAAATTTTAAGTCTTCGCTATGAAGTTGCAAATATAAAGCTATTTGCGTTGTTACAAATTGCAAAAATCTACCGTGGAAAATATGGTGATAAATGTCGAGAAAATAGGATCTTACTATTCTAAATCGAAGATTTGACGTGAAAGTTTTCTAGAGTTGAGATGGAATTTTCTAACATGTAACTGGTCTTGCCAGAATTGGTTCTGCATGAGAGTACCCAATATGTTTATCAGGGAAGAGGGAATCGTCTTTTTTTGAATCGGGAATCGATAATTGATGATCGGAAATCGGGAATCGGGCAAAAAGGTAGCGTGAATTTGGGAATCAGGGGACGCACCTACTGGGTAACCTCCTACATCCCAGAATTACGATACATTTCAGTTTTTCACCTCTATTTGTTCCCTGGAAACCTTTTGAGGATCCTACCTTGTACTGTCCTTTGACACTCTTTCATTCCAAGCGACCAGTCTAGCTGGACCCAATCCCAAACATGGAAAATTCCTATCATTCGAACTGAAGGAAGATTTCCAGAGTGTTCTGTATTTGTGCGCAAGGCTGCACGATGGTGACAAGCCTCCGTGCTTTAAAGATTCGAGTTGACGGGAACAACAACAAATTGTGTCGACTTCTCGCCAACACGAGTCCGAGTGCCGCGCCTCATTTTTCCATTCTTTTTCACACTGATTAACCAACTTCTTGAACCGTTAGCATAATAGTAGGACCAAAATGTGTGGTAGAAATTTTCTTCTTGGTGCGTTTTGAAAAGGCATTCAACATTTGGAAAACTCTGTAAATAAAGGACAAAATGAGCAACGTTTGATCAAATGAAGTATAAAAGGCTAAAAACTACAAAGAATGGAAATTGCAATATCATAGGCAAAGTTTGGCAAAAAAGAGGATTGAATTGGGGAGCATAAAATCATTGTTTTTATTTAAGCTAATATCGAGTGTTCCCACTGATGGCGAGAAAAGTACGTAATATCTTCTTGAGAAAGACGAGACACTCTTGTGATAGGCCTATAACTACTTCATGTTACAAAGAATTTTTCATGACCAAAAATAACCGACTGGAAACAAATACTTGAAATTTGAACAAAGGAGGTTTGCCTTGAAGCAAATGCAACGACTTTCCATTCATGCCAGAAATGTCCTGTGTTTACAATGAAAACAAGTTGGAATCAAATAGGGGAAGTTTGTTTTGCTTCAAATTCCGTCTGTTAGGAAAACATTTGGCTTGGCTCTTTAAAAACGGTTCACAGACATCTTGCATAAAAAAGACTACTCACAGACTCGAGTTAAATGTTTGGTTATAATACCAAATGAATTTAACGATACAAAACTGATTCCTACCTACATAATTTTTGGTGAAGATTTACGAATGCGATAGTCAAAACCTAAGTCGAGCGGGGTTTAAATAGGTCCATCTAAAGCTACCCTGTGGCACCTCATTTTGATCCGTAGAAATGTAAGGAGATGTGTATTTGTATGGAAACAGTCCCTATTCATTTAGGCCCCATTTAAAATAAACAGAGTGAATCAGAAAAACTAAGAAAGTATGATCAGGGACTGGGGAGAAGTCTTTATGAAGGCTAAACGGAATTGAAAATTTCGGGCCTCGTTTTGGACCGCCTATCCTCGCAATATTCTTTGTGTTCTGTTTTGACAATATAAATTTGGTACTGTCTTCTATCATCGACCAAGAAGTACGCTTAAAATAAGTAAAATTTTAAAATTGTTAAGCTTTTGCTTCACTTATGAAGATGTGGTAGATATTTCAAAAATTGATAAAAGTTATAAAAGCTTCGTTAATTGCAATCTAAATATTGTTAAAAGTTCATTGCTTAATTACCGTGCTATAAATTCTGCCCTTCTTGTCCATTGCGATGTATTTCTTTGTGGCGAACCCTTTGAAGCGCACAATGCTAACACTGAGGGATTCTTGAACAAGAATCGCTGCAAAGAAAACAAGAATCTGCTTATCAAATGATCCTATTTATCATCAAACATCAATCCGTTGGTTCATCGAGGATTTGGTCGGATTTGTTTTATTAAATAGGAAACCATGCTCATTTGGAATCAATGATAAAATAATCGCTGTACTGATAACACTAAATGGACGAAATAAATCTGCATCTAATTATTTTTCAAGATACGTTTTCAAGCTGACACCAATGGGGCTGTATGCTTTTAAGCCAAGAATATTTCAAAGGCAACATCCATTTCCATTGACCGCAATCCAGACAATCTTTGGTTCAGTCTAAGACCATGAGTGGTTTTGCAAATGCACAAAAGTTCATTTGTAAATGCGCGACTGTAATGTTTGCAGCAGTTGTAAGAGGAAGGGGGGACGTTATGTGCGCTTTTTCAGCAACGAATGTCCACATTATAATACAATATAATGTCCCTTTTCGCTGTGCCCCCTCCTTGATGGTGTGCCCCTAATTTTTTACGTCCATTGCCTGTAATTTGGCTTCATTATAGGCTTGGCAGAAGTTGTGGTGATGAGGTTTTTAGAAAATTTAGCCCTGTCATTGATCTTCAACATGCAATAAAAAGAGAATTCTCCAAGATTACAAACATTCAACAAAAAACCAGACTTTAAGGCTTTACAATGCTCTTATGACATTTTCTTTCAGTCTTATCCATTCATTTCATTCCGAATGATGGAACAACGCAATGGCTGAACAAATGGAGTTTTTTTTAATGCTTCAGTCTATAATGTTTGAGATTTGGTCAAAGTCGCTGAGTCAAGCAATGTTTAGGATGTGAAAAGAGGTTTCGGGCAACTGAATCGAAAATGACACACCCTGACACATCTTGATGGATGCAAAGATTAATTAAACGGATTTTGTGATCTGTGTAAGAAGTGAACATTTTCTGAACTTAAATAACTCCTACCGTGAGATTAAAGCAAAGATCAACACAGACGGAAAGAGGATACGAATCTATTGTCTAGAAGTTTGTTGTTTTGCCACTCCTAGATTTTTTGCTGTATAACCAAAATAATCACAACAAATAATGGAAAAATATATGACTAAGTTCTACGTCAACTCTGGGCAAATCAAAACAAAATTGATGATTTGTTAGTTGTGTTTGTTTGGGGTTAATGCTGCATCAATCAATGACGCATTTGGGAAAATTCTTCAGTATCGCCCCTCCAACCGCGTCCTATTTTGATACAGCATGTCGATGTAATCCTGCCAACTTTTGGCGAGAAGGTTTGAAGTAGGACTCCAGCCCATCATATTCTTTGATTTCCACATGGAACCTTCCTGTTATGACTGCATCGAGTCCACCAACATATAGACCGCTACCAAAGACGAACAAAACCTCACACAAGGAAGAAACAACCCCTATTCAATTCGGAAATAGTCTACATTAATACGCTAATACGTTGCTCAATGTACGTATGCGTTTCAGTGCATGTTTAACTGCCAAGAAGGCCGTAGTGCTTTATTGCAAAATTGGTGAATCATCTTCTTTAAAAGGTTCCGGCACTGTTTGTAAAAATTATCAATTTTGGCTTTGGGTGATATGTAAAGAATTACGATGTACTTATCAGTATGTAGTGGTTCATTACTACGAAAGGCAATGTCACCCAGCCATAGACATAGTCTGGTCTTTTCAATACCACCTCTGTAACAATTTTTCCGAAATCCTCTTACAAGTTGATCCTCAGATTAGCTAAAGCTCTTGTATTCACAACACAAAAGAGGCAAACGCTTTGGAAGACAAAATGATTACGACAAGAAACTACTTCCCATTGTATTTCGATAGCGGAGTATTGCGTTGCAAGATGATGTTCTACTTCTCATATCAATTTTCAAGTTTAAAGAAAGGTGTTTGCTTTCATTGAGAGTGCTTACATGAAGAATTTGAAAAGAAATGGCGGTGTTTGCGTCAACTGCGTGGGCCGCTCGAGTACGAGCGACCGTCTCTCGCTGTTCTCCGTATTTTGTTAGTAAATTCTCGTGGGATGCTCTAACTCCATCATCACTTCAGCCTGGTCGTGACTATGTATGGTATTTAAATAGCAATCCATTTTCAAACAAATAAATATAATGTATTTGTATGCAAAAGCACAAAATATGTGATAAACAAAGCTTTAGTTATGATTCATACATGGAAGGGTAGTAATTTGCTCATCTGAATGTATGCCAAATTTTTGCTATACGCCATTTAGGGAATCTTTTATTTAAAGCAAAGTGAACTGGCCGCTTTTAGGATTTCCTTTTGGTGAAGTTCAGGCAAGTTAGGCCAAAATAGCCCATAAAAGCATATATTTCGACCAATTGCTAAAGACAGGTATTCTATGTTATCAACAGTTTTCATAGTAAAGATTTTCCAGACACACGTCTTGCATTTGTAGGCCTAAAATTTCAAAAAGTTGCCGATGTGTGGCCTCACTGAACTGTAATACCGAAAAGATCACTGGGATACTTCAGTGATAGGAATTCCCTCAACATATTCCCACCGTGGATGCATGAGAACACCAAGGAGTTCCAAAACTGTTCAGTTTGCAGCTGAGAAGGTATGCTAAGGCAACTTATTCATGCAAGGTAACCCAATCAAAGACTGCTGATTGAATTCTATGTCCAGGCCACCCTCCTGCCAAGATTTCAGGAGCTTCGTTTTTTTCTCATTTGAGTATCATATCAATGCTGGTGGGATACTATCTCAACTTAATCTTTCCTACCTTTAATGCAATCTAAAACACTTCCGTACATAGAATTATTTGCAAAGTGAGGTAACATTCTATGTAATTGACCCCTAGAGTTAATAAATTGCTGCTTTGAAAAACGTGTAGACGTATTTGTCTTCTTGCGGTGTATTTTTATACTACATACCAATTTTGTAAAAATACATCAATTTGCTGTTCAACAAACAGACATTGTGGTTTGGTATGACAGGTTACAGCTAGTCTCTTTAATTTTGTGCTCGACAAGATGCACAGAAAGGTACAAGGGGAAGAAAGAGGAGATACAGAGAGAGGCAGATAAAAATGGCGGATACCAGTTTATTTTGAGCCTTCTGTGAGGTGATAAAATGTTACCTAGCGTTATGGGAAACATGTAGAGATTGATAATGTATAGAATTATGGAAATGATTGAATTTGGACATAATTCAATAAAATAATAAAACATGAAGAGTAAATAACTAAGCAAAAAGAATACGGAATACAAAATATTATATTAATCAAATAAATAATAATATAGATAGTATCATGAAATACTATACCAACCAAATCCTATTACATATATCATCTTTTTTAATATTCTTTTTCTTTTAACCAACGCAAATATCTTTATAAAACATTTTTCTAGGCCAATTACCTCAAAATTCCTCATGAAGTGTATAATGAATTCAAAATTGAAATTTCGAATTAAGGAATGGAAAAATTCCTTTGGATGTATTTTATAACGTCTACATGGTGCATTGGTCTACAGACCACCTTACATGCTTCCCACAGTTGACCTATCTCCTCAAATGTTTGACTTCATATATAAGAAAAGCGAGCATTTTATTGCACAGGACGCTTTTGTGCTGAAAAGAAGTTTGATAGAATATAACCAGTATGAGAGTGTCTGTCCAGCAAATACTACAAAGAAAGATTCAACGAGCTGCGTGGACAGGAAGACACACAATTTTGAATATGCTGCAAAACAGAGATGCATAAAACTTTCCAAGTGGGACTGGCTAAATTTAGATTTCCCAGTCGTTTAGTTTGAACGCTGAATTGATGCGATTCGACGCTTCCTGCATTACTATTTTAAAGTTGGATAGACAGGCCCGTCGAGAGCAAGCTCTGGCCGTGAGGCTATGAACAACATGGGCCCTTGTGCAGGAGTAGTTGCGCAGGAGCAAGATGGGGCTTCAGCATTAGTAAAACTTTTCGCAGGCCAAAATTTTTCGAATTTACCCCGGCTACCCCCTCCCTCTTGAAAGTACAGTAGATATAGAGTTTTGTTGTTAAAATGATATTTAGAAGCAAAGTACAATATGTTACATATTTTACTTCGACTTTGAGAAGCAAGAATGATATCTAAAGAAAACTTACTGTATTTGTTGTTTGATTCGTGAGTGCCGTTCACGACTCCATTAGCGTTCACTTGTAGAAAGACATTTCTGTTTCTCGACCAAAGCCTGATGTTTCTCGTATTCGTTGGTTGACTCAGCACTCTAAACAGGCCAATGTTACCTTGCCTTGCTTCTGATAGTTCTAATAGTCTGTGATTACGGTCCGGCCTCGGTTGAAAGAGCGGAAGACCATAACAAGCAACTTGTGACGTAACAACTACCATAACAGTCAGCAGTAACTGAAGAGGAAGAAAGAAATGATATGAGATACCAATGACAGAAGAGGTTGCCCAAGGCTTTACTACGCTGTTTTGAGCTTCCTGAATTTTTTTGTGAAAACTGGGGTTAAAGCTAATACGACGATTGCTTTTAAACATGCCATTTTCATCCTCGTGACGGCATATTAGGCCTCCAGCGTTGCTGCAGGACATCGATCGCCTGTAAAGTTTAGTTGCAAATTGCAAAAGTATTCGAGATTCAGCTCTATGTTTGCAGATTTAAAAATTTGATTGGGCACTAAGTGCAAAAGATAATTTTTGCTTCAGCACTTCAAATACCCAAAGGTCCTTATCCCCTGTGGCCTACAACCAAGAATTTATTATCCTCAGACAGACAGTCATTATCACGTAATGAAAACTAAATTGCAAACATTTATCGATGGAACAGTGCTAAGCCATTCTTTTCACCAACTGTTTGCAGCTATATACAATTCTGATCCCTTGTTACACACTTGGCTCCGAGAACAATCAAATGCAAGAAAGGAAACAGACTTGTTGCATTCCCCCACGTCCCCCTTACTGTACTCATTCTTCGTACATAAACATCTCTCCTAAACGTACTCAGGAACGGATCCAGAGCAAACTTGAAAAAGGGGCAGTTGGTGACGAGAGTACGCTGTATACAACAATTTCAGATCCATTTTCGGAATAAACAAAAGGGGCACACAACTTCCAAAAAAGGGGCGCCAGACTTGCTTCAACTCGTCGAGAGAGGGGCAACTGACCCTTTACCCCCCCCCCTATATCCGCCACTGAACGAACTCATTCTTTGTACATAACCAGCCTGAAACATACTGGCCGCTATCAAACTAGGCCAATCTATCAGTAATTTACTTGAAGCTTCAAAGTCCACATAAGGCATCACAATGAGCCCGTCTACATCAAAATCTGCTATCATCTTGCTTGGCCTATTATCACTTCAAAAAAAGACGGATCCCTTAGGATCACTTTAAATCGTAGCCAATGCTCAACTTTGTGGAATGTTGAAGAGACTTCTGTTTGGTCCCCTGTTACTGCTTAGACGTTCTCATCCGTCCTGGGATGGATTGATAATAACTTTAAAGAGGATAATCACATGATTACGTGATTGATTTTAAAGGGAAGCTTTCTAATCTTAATCTAGATTATAACCCGATATAATAACCTACAAACACGCACGATAGAATATGTCCGTGATTGGCTGATTCAGCCAGCTTCCTGAATCAAGTCATGGTGATGACTTCGGTAATCAACAAATAGAAAAACAATTCTAATACTTTGTGAATAATTAACGAAGAAAATTGATATTTATGGCAATTAATCTCAGAAAGCATTGGCAAATACAATCAGCTGTACTTATGTTGCTCCAAACAAGATTGTCATGGTAGGTCCATCTTTCTGGTTCTTGGTTAATCGCAACCTCAATACCTTCGAAACTGTGAAGTTTATTTCAAGATTTAGACATTCAACAAAATTATATTGTTATTTAAATATTATATTGCTTGTGATTTTTCACCGTTTTTATCGAGATATATTTTTCTGCCCTAGTACTTGGAGTTAAGACGCTCTAATGTCTCAATCGCGACAAAGCTTTTAAAGCTCCCCATATATAAACCTTGAGTAGATAATCGCACCAAATCTTGACGTCATTTTATTTAACCTTTTTAACCTGTCCACTAATACATCGGAACTTTATATTGCCTTTCTTGAGTTAATGGGAAGGAAACATTGTAAGAAGATATCTTCAACAATTTGAATCATAAAAACATTATCACTACAGAAAGAAAAACATAACGGAAGGGGCTGGCAGTCAAATGCCATTCAAGGCACTCGAGAAAATTATTTTACTGCTTACGGATGCTCGATGCAAGGAACGAAATGCATTTCATTAAATTGCTGCACAATTCTTCAGCTCTCAATTAAACAGGAATAGAACAGCACGATTGATTAATGAGTCTGTAAAGGTCTAATTAAGGAGAGACTAGACAAGATAACTTTTGTTATCAATTTTATGATACTGGATAGACGGCACTGAATTGTAACTGGGAGAAAAAGTTGGAGGTCGAGGAATTAAAAAGGTCAAAGGAGAGGGAAGGTCGTAGCTTAAAAGTTAAAAGTGAAATAAAATCACTTTGCGATTCCCTAAATGCATAATTACAGAAGAAACGCTTTCGATAAATCGTGTTTGAATTAAATCCGAAAATGTGCTGAAACGTTTTCGACCTAAAACGAAATAGCACCTAAATTTTTCTTCACCTATGTCGCCGACAATAGAGTTTATTGCTGATGACCGACCGACCCCCTGGTCTGGAAGGACAAGCTACGCCACTGCTTGTAGCATTAAATATCAAAGTAACCTGAATTGAATCAACAGGGCCATACCGGATCTGGGAACAATTTATAAAACAACATTGTCCGGATTGGAATGAAAGACCTGGTATAAAATATTCAGAAAATCAATGTAGGGTACAAGACTTTTTGCAGGTATCGTGGATACCAACTGTAAAATATGTCTTTACTGTTAGGTATACCATCAAGCAATGTTTAGACACGCCTTGTGTTTACAAAAGCATGATTACCGTAATGCCTCGAATAAGCGCCCGGGCGCTTATTTAATTTTTGAGGATCCAGGGTGGACGCTTATTCGAGGGGGGCTCTTATTTGAGGGGGGCACTTGTTCGAGGCATTACGGTAGTTAATTTGATTGAATAAACTATTTATGTGGAAGACCTTGATAAAACTGCTGCAAAACGCGCACCGTCATTTTCCTCGGAGACTTGAACTGACTCGGTGTTTGTCAATAAAAACATTATAAATTGCACTTTATTTTATAAGCAACGAGATCATGTGTAACAAAGCTATTCGACGGGATGCATTTATCAGGTAGAACAATCTTGGTTTGCTGAAGAACTGAAACATTGGTTTTGTATTTTACCACTTTCTAATTTGCGGATTGCAACTGACAGATTTTGAACAACATTCATTAAACTCAGCGATAACAAGATACAAATCGATCGATGAATCATGATTTTGCTTGGGGGAAAGCTTGTATGGATGCACAGTTGATATCTTGAGTATCTCAACTGTGGCTGTAAATGTCAAGATTTTCTTGGTCATAAAAAAGAATGACAACCAATGAATTTTGTTACGGATGATTCTAGCTAAACTTTCTAAAGGGGTCACAAATTTAAGGCATCTGAAACTTCACTAGAAACATTTCATTTCGGAAATAATTGTTTATAACTCACTCTTCTTTCAAAAAGAAACTTTTTGCCGAGACTCGATATTATTATTTTTAGATAATTTATGCCCTTTGGTATTTATAATGTTAACTTTAATTCGACATCGATTTTTCTTCAACACCATACTATAAATAGTTCTTTAGACCTCTGAACAACATTTTTGCATGTAACTTTCAGTATCACGGTTACTAAGCTGATAAAACCTGTTCTCCTTTGCTAAGAAGAAAGAAGGTTTTGTAAAACACATTGCGCTTTTTCCTTCTACTTTTTCATCGGAGGCTGGGTATGTTCTTAAACTGTTCTCATTTTTTGGCAAAACGTGGCGTGATGTTCTAATAATGTGAGTTTTGTATAAAAAAGGAGTGCAGTATTGGTCAAACTCTAGCTTTTGCCCAGTTTTAATCTTCATCAGACAGTATCTGATTGTAAATTTACTAGATTGGTTCCAACCGTGGCACAACTTTCTCAGACTGGTTCCATCTGTGGCACAACTTTACTAGGCTAGTTCCATCTGTAGCACAACTTTACCAGACTGATTCTATCTTTGGCACAACTTTATAAGACTGGTTCCATCCATCTGTGGCACTACTTCTCTAGACAGGTTATTGTTTTCTACTACAGCCACGTGGCGGTTAATTTTAAATATAGTTTCAATAATTTTCAGGTACATGGCACGTCTTGGAACAAGTGATATCGCATGGTGGGGTGATATCACTCAATAACGACAAAATCTGGCACATAGCTTAAAGACCTATTAACTGGCCACAAGAAAGAAATCAGGTCTTTACCAAGGAATTCGATAAAACCCGTCGTGAAGAGATTTGCTTGCTTTTGTGGCCACATTGAGACATTTACAAGAATTCGTTGGTGGTTCAAATTCCAAGCAAATTTCACGGAGCAGTAGTAAACGTAGTTAAAAGTAATATTATGATATAAACGAGACAAAATTTGCCATGAAGATGTCCCTCGATGTGCAGTTTTTATTGTCTAGCTACAGTTCCGAACCCGGCTTTACAGTGGGGCCTCCATCTCAAACGCTGGCTCGGGTATCGAAAACAACATATGGAAATCCTCTTAATAAAAACACCCTATCGTAAAATAGTAAATAGTAACCATCTTATTTTGAGGTTGGATCACAACCATTGGCTGATGAAAAGTCAAAGACAAACCATTCGATGATGTGGTCAAGCCTTTCCGAATACTTTTTGGGTCACAACCTGGCCCGTGGATATCATACATAGCATTTTCATTGCTTTATTGAAGAGCTCGACACATTTGTATTGGAATTACACATAAGAGAGGTAATTGGAAACCCTTTCAAGGGCAAAATTTGGCTATGCGGTTGGGATTCTGTAGAAATACGGTTTTATAGAAATTTTCATGATTGCTTCAAAAATGTTAAGAGCTATGTATCGTTGACACACAAACTCCATTAATAGGTCACATTGAATAGCCAAGGATAGGTTCTCTATACTGAAAGTTGATTAGCTAGGAATATGTATATTAGAAGCCTCGCAAAGTCAAGTAAGAGAATAAGGGAACCAGATAACAGTGAAAACTGTAAAATGTTTTTAAATTGTTTTCTTAATGCTTTTAGGTACAAATCCAAAGTTTTATTGACGTTAAAAAGGTCTGGGGTGCATTCTTGGGGTTACACACTTCGAAGAACCTACGCAAATTGATGTGCACCTTCAGTGTCGCCGGCATACCATGGGAAATCCCCACATTACCATCTTTAAGAAGAAAAAGAAATCATTTAGTAGGAAAAAATGAATTATTCAATGTTTTCATTGTCGTTGCTGTTACTCAGTCAAAGCGCAAAAACCGTTTTGCTTTCAGAAAACTACTCGCTCAAAAGAGGACCCTTGAAATACAATCAAAATATTTGAATTTCCCTCGCAATGTTTTGAAGGCAATATGGCAACGAGCCAATTCTAGGTCGTTGTGTCCTTGGGATGATCTTTCAATCGTCCGATCAGATGAGACGAACTGTCTTCATTGCGAATTTTTAACCTTGGAAAGTCAATTTGAAAATATTTGCATGCTCTCGGAGACTGGCAGACATGTCGGCTTAAACAAGACAACTCTTTATTGCACAATTTATTAAAGACATTAAGAACGTCACAGAGAGGGTTAACTTTAATACAGTTAGTAGACGAGAGAGCGGAATATTGTTTGAACCCAATGTGGGCAAGAAACCGAACATTAACAAAAATCCTAGACTTGATGAGTTAGACAATGAGTTTTCAAGCTAGATTTTTTAAAAGAAAATCGAGACATGAATAGTGAGTTTAAGATAAGAGATTTTGGTTTTTTGAATGAAATACCTAACGGAAATGTGGGCAAAACTGTTTCAACGATCACACTGATATGGGCAAGCTTTGAATACAGTACTGTTGGTCTGTTATCAATAAATGAATAACGGCTTAGCGATCGTCCATTGAATGAAGTGGTAAATAGAAAAACTTTCGCGTTTAAAAAAACTTGAAGAAGACAAATGCACAATCAAATGACTGAGATGAGTTGTGAAACCATTTTCAAAGTCTAAATAATTTTTCATCGTGAGTTATGGAAACGAACTTAACGAAGTTTGGAGAAGTTTTCCTCGGCTAAATTTTTAACGGAACCTAGAAAACTTTATCTCTTCCAAATCTTGTAGACTTCACTATTAGTGCTAACATTAAAATGTTCGAAAAATTGCATAATATACTAAAAAATGATGAAAATATCAGTAGCTATGCTTTTACGATTAAAATTATCCGAACTGTTTGAATAATTGTTGAAATTCGTTGTCAGTACCGATCGCGACAGAAGACACCCTTTCATTCATAAAATTACGTTGCTATAGGAAATTTGCCGGTCAACCAACAGATAGAAATTGTGTCAGGGGAAATATTCTTACGAGGATAAAACGAGCTCCGAATACTTACATCATCAGAACCATACTTTCGAAAAAGCGTACGAAAATATTAACTTTCCTGAGGGTGATAATTTACGAAAACGGTGAATGAAAAGGAGAAACAAAAAAAAATTGAAAGTTTCTTACCTGTAGCAGTCCGCTCTTCATATTAGGCAACCCTATTCTAGTCCAGTAAAGTCTGATCGGCTTACCACGTTTATGTGTTCAAATAATCCCGTTGATCTCTTCGAGCTGCCTTTATCACGTGAGGATTAAGTCTGTCTGCAATCGTATACTCGGCCAACGAGATTGCGATTACACATGTGAAGGAGCTCTGGGAAGTCTCTTACTGCTCCAGTCGCCGTGCTCTCTCCAGCCAGCCTAGCCTAGCGTATGGCGATTCATAATCAACGCTGCCCGTTAAATATCAGGTCAATTTGTATAAGAAGAAACCTAATTGATTGGAACTTCCTAACTCCGTCGCGGCAATTATCTACTTTGTATCGGCAATGCCCATCCCCAGATGTCCTCAACTCGCAAAAGAATGGGCTCTGTTGTTGAGGCACTCCATACAATGGCAACAAAGGACCTCTCCACCTTTATTCATAGATGTTTGCAGTACTATAAATAGTCGTATATGCGCAGAATAAATCAATTGATTTGATGATATATCAACTTTTGAAAAACCACTTTGTACTATTAACGAAGAATCTACAACGATTTCCTTCTTGCTTGAGAGAGCGAATGTTTGAGTCGATTCGCATTATCGATTTTCCCGTCACTCAACGTACCGTTGGCGTGTCTATCAAAACCACTATTAATGAATACGTTAAGAAGAATTCTTCTGGGAAGTTGTCAAACACAAGACAAGACCAAGGTCTTTATCGGTGTTTCCGCGACCAAATCGTTGTCTAGTCCTTCCTTTTACTTTCATTAGATAGTGTATTTTCATAGGGTACAACCGAAATAGTATTTAATTACTACGGATCCGAAATAATGAATCTTGTCAGAAGAAACACTGCAGGCTAGCACCGATTTCCTTTGCCCTATTGACAAATTTTCAACCAAGGGAAAATCTAATAATCAATAGCTACTTGCGATACCAAAACTATGAGGATTCGCTTCCTAGAGAGGTTTTTTCATACGCCGTATATGTTTAAAATAAATTTCCTTCCGTTAATTTCTCTAATTTTAACTTTGTTACAGTCATACGGATCTAAGTCATTTCTGTTCGGTACATTTACTTGTCTCCTTTGACATCGTCAACAAGACATCGTCTACTGTGTGAAAAAACACAGGTACCAACTCAGTGTGACTATTGGCTCCTTGAAGATGCACCTCTATACATTCTGGTGTGTCCTCATATACAGATGAGAGCAATGGCGTAATAGAGAATTCTGGGGCACTAAGGCAAAAATGAAACAGCCCCATCCAACGCCAAATAGCATAATTTTTTCTTGTTCACTACCTAAGCTCAGTTATAGAAGCTTCATTTGAAGAACTTTAAAACCTTTTGAAGCTTGAGCAAATTCTTTAAAACATGAATATGAAAGCCATTTGGGGGTGTATTTTGGCCGAGGGGGGGCCTTAGTTATGGAGCTAAAGTTCTAAAAACTGATGTACGCCACTGGATTACACTCTTTTTCTATAAGAACCAGAAAATTTAAGTTCAGGCTAACTGTTCTTAAATTTTTTGAAAATCTGAGGTTGGATTGTTTTTGGTTTGTTCTTTATTTAAGAGGGTGTAAGCAGTGCGATTGCTAGCTTTTTCGCTCTACGTAGGTGTTCAGGCCTCATTTGCCAGCAAAGTTCGCGAGACAACTTTAATTTGCCAACAAGTTTGAATGAATATCCACATCCACATATGGCCAAAAACCCTCGTTGTTAAAAATTACATTTTACAAGAGTTCAGCCTCAGCTTGTTCTTGATTTGTTCTTAACTTTTGCCCAATTTTGAAGTTGGATGGGGCTTATAAAACTATAAAAAGAAAAGAGCGTAATTAGAGCAGAGGGCACTATCAATTGATGGATAGGTTTTGTCCACTTTTTTCAAATTCATTGATTACACTTTTTGATATACTCTGCGATTGAAAAACTGAAATTTTTCGAGCTAAATTTTTCGAAAAACCGAAAAACCACTATGTGAGAAAAAATTAGAAAGCATTCATTCAATTTTGATTTTTAGCTTATGAAAAATCTAGAAACACTTATATTTCATGGAATTTAGTTCATCTTCGTATTGGAAACTTTTACAATCTTTGGGACCAGACAGTCTTAAGCTGGAACTCTAGACATTCGAGAATCTGAAAAACAAGTTCTAGGAGAATTATCGACTTAAAAAACAATGCAAAAAAACTAAATAGAAAAATTGAAGCCAATATTTGTCTTAACAGTTTATCATGAGACTTTGCCGAAATGAAAAAAAATTAAGAGGATCATCTAAAAGTAGAAAAAATTTCATTGCCATAAATATTCTAATACATTTTCACATGATGACTAATATTCTGCAGACATAGCCAAGAAGATAAGACGAACTATTTTTGACTTCCAAAGAACAGAGAAGAAAGAAATGATTAAGTTTAAAGTCTGCACTATGTTGGTGATGTCGTATTCTGAAGAGCAGAGTCTTTGTAACAAGCAATGAGATTTAAGTAATCTGACAGTTCTCATGACGTGAACACAATGAAATGATCTAGAAACAGTATGCAACGGTATTACCGCAAAGACTATGTGAAAACAAGACTTCTTTATCAATCAATGTTTCGTATCACTTCAACAGGTTGATTTTTCTTCCTAACAATGAATGAGATATTCGTCACATTTAACAGAGGAGGCTTTGGGATTTCTCTGCTTGTGAGTTTGGTGAATTTCAGATTTTAGTCATCTTGCTTCTGGGTTTTTTGGCAAATGTGCCGAATTTCAGGATTTGTATATTTAATCTATTAAATTTCAGTCCGGGGTTCTTGTTTTATCCAAACATTATTCCGGGTTTGCAGCTTCAGATAACTCCTACCCGAAGCCCCACTATTGACAGCAAGATTTTCTATAGAGTTCTAAGGTGATGATGCCATAAAAATGAATTTTTAGAATTTTTGAATTTAGATCTCATAGCCTGAAAAAGCATCATGAAATATCTGAAAATGTGCAAAATCAGTCAAATGTATTGCGAATTGAGTGAAATATGACCACGTTTGTAACGGCTCCTTCCCCATCAAACCCCTATATTTTTGTCTCTTTTCTTAACTTTATGAACAGAGCAGAAACAATAGTTACTCGTAAGCAAACTTCAAATCTTTCATTGGCAATTACTCAACCGATTTTAGACATATTTGGCCAATTTTGCTTACTTGGAAGTATTTCATAGTTATCTTTAATGTTATGTGGTTAAAACTCAAAAATTCTAAAACTAGATTTTTATTGACGTCACACTTTAGAACTCTATTGACTTGTTCTCGAATTCCGGTCATTATAATTAACGAATAATCTTTGAATAGTCAAGATGAGCTTTTTTCCTTTCCTTTTTCAATGGTCTTTTTAAGGTGGTCAGCAGAGTGCGATATTTGCTGCAAAAATTGATTGATTGTAGTGTTGCAGTCTTTCGACAGATCGCGCAATCACAAGTTGTTACAACCTCCAATCGTGTCTTTGAATGATCACAAATCTTACTTTTTCGGGATTGGATCTCCCAAATTTCAGTCCGGGTTTCCGGTTTTAACCAAACGATGATCCGTGTTTGTGGGTTGGTTATGTTTTAATAATTAGTACATCTTAATATTTGGTAATTAAGTAATCTAAATACCCTTAGAAATTTAAGCTACTGAAAACATCTAGCTTAATTTTATGTCTTTATCTCTGGCATAAAAGCCTGTTAATAGCGAGAAATCATGAAAGAATCTGCCAAAATGTTACTGCGATGAATTAGAAGGCTTCCAAAGACTACAAGTATGGCATAGACAAGGTTCATATATTCTGGTATTTGGAAGACACAATTCAAAAGGAGAGATAAAACGTTGGAAGCCAGAGGGGCGAATAGAGTGACAAGGCGATGACGTCACAAAAATCGATTCTAGAATTTATGGATTTTGAACATTTAGACCAAAAAACGCAGTCAGGTGTATCTTTTGCACATTGCCAAAGACTTGGCATCTAATTCCCTATTCCCTAAAATAAAGTGTTTTATGTTTCCATTATCGTGTAAGATTCCTGTAATCATACGCAAAGGAGCATTTGTCCTTGCTAATAAGGCGGCTTGTTCCTGTGGTTTGTCCTCGCGCAAATCATGTCACCATACATAAAGAGTATTTGCTATTCGGTGGAAGAAGCGAAAATCTTTGCCAGGCTTACGAGCTATTCTGGCTACTGCATCGAAAGTTTGCCAAAACGACGAAAAAAGGTTTCCTTTAGCCTCCCTGGTAAACTAGAAGGGCTTTTTCACACGAGCGATCGTATATTCCTATTCATGTAGAGCGGACTTCCATTCTTGGTCTACAACCCCGAGACAAAGTAATTAAAGATACTGAAAATCGCAAGTGAAGATTAATTATTTTGAATTAAGGTGTTGAATCTAAGACAGCCCCGCCCACATTGCCTCTGGGCTTTTAATATTTACTGACAGTATTGCTGGAAAAATTGTTCTCACAAAACTATCTTCGCTGTACGCTGTTCAACCAGAGCTGTCTTAATCACCCTTTAGAAGTAGCGTTAGAAAACGAATTGTCATCTTTCACCATACGGAAGACCACAAAATATGGCCATAAGAGCAACCATATGTGTAATGTGTGAGAGCTGGGAAAAAGACTATACCCTGCCTACAAGATAAATGCGAAACATCAAACGGTTTAAAAGTTCAGTTATCACCTATAATTGGTGATATACAGTGCCAATAGCTTTCGTATTATTAGCTGAGAAAAACGAACTCCTCTAACCACTGATATTAGCTCTCTCCCTTTGCCTTTTCAAGTGACATATAAATTTTGTGCCATGATACATTAGCTCACTTCTGATGAGTAATGACATACATTGACGCTGGTTCAAAGGTGGTAATAACTCTTCACTGATAGGTGCATGCGTACGTGTGGTAATGCTTCGGTCAACTGCTCGACTTGAAAATATAATAATGTTATAAATCAGCTTTAAGAACGAGATTTTATGTGGTTCTTTTGAAGAAAGAAGATTATTCATGGGCAGTCGGGATGTAGTTAGTACAACTGAAACTTTTCAGAAAATTGTGATGGTTTGTCAATAAAAGTTTGCAAAAAAATTTAATCGTCTTTCTTCTAGTTTTTCTGAATTTCCTTTGAGGGAAGAAATGGTTTTCATGAAGATTACTGAAAAACTTTTATCTTATCTCAGACTTTCTTGTATGATTAGGTTAGACGTAGGCAGAGGCAACAGGCTGAAGGACAAAGATCGAAAATTCTCTTATAACGATGAAAAACAGAATCTATGACGCTTAAAAATAAATGTGAAAGTTGTTAGGGCATTGTGGGCCCCAGTCTGATTGTTGCATACAAAAACCACTTTCAACAAACCAGTAAGTATGTATAACTGCTCTCACAAAAAACATTCACTCGACTATCTTTGTTATAAATACTAGGGCAAGTTTGTGAAAGGGTGTTCTTTACGGGTTCAAATAGTAGTTTGATAAAATGTCTAGAGGGCTTAGCAACTCCCAATCTCACCTTGAAGTTTTCTTGATTCAAAGTTTAACTCAGGCCAAAAATTTCATTTGAAAAAGGGTTAAATATGTGACTAGATAAGACAATTACTATACTATTTGGAATAAATTGAATCTACGCAGATTAGAATTTTCTTGTCTGTCTTTGCACGCAAAGGGGTGTCTGAAAGTTGGAAAGAAACAGAAGAATGCTTGGGATGGGAAAAAAGGCCACACACAATCTTAAAAAGAAAAAAGAGTAAAACAAGAAAGAAAAAGATTAGAAA